ACATTTTGACCAATTTCCCAAAATTGGGCCCCACACTAGAAAGGGCCCCCGCAGGTCGCCAACTTAGAAAATTTCCAGGCAATCTGGCAGCAGGGCTCACTTTCAGCAGGGCTGCCAGGTGTGACTATTAATTGTAAAGTAAAGCATAGTTGACCTTAAATATCAATTGGGCCCCGCATTTTCTACAACCAGCCTGCCCTTAATGGTCAGGCGGAAGAGTTCTATGTTTGTTAGGTTCTGGTACTGTACTTTTATCAGTAATTCCCTTAAACCTATCAATTTACATTATGGCCAAAAAACATTTAATCCAATTATCAGTTGATTTTAATGAAATACAGCTGCAGTGAACTTTCTAAAAATAAATGAAAAGTGGTCTCAGATGTACTGTTATTTTCAATGGGTGCATTGAGGGAGAAGTTTGTCAACCAAGTGTTGTTCTTGTTCATTATACTTGGCGTCGATATTTACGAAATCCCCTAGTGGGCGTATCTGCATTGCTCATATTTCTATTACTTTAGAATTCTCAAAATTAAAACTGTGTATGTAATACTGTATGGATCCAGACCACCAACAATTCCATGTACGTCCTTCTGGTTATATTCTTTTTCTGTCTTTCCCCATCACCAAAACTTTTGGTTTTGGTGTAGAACCCAAGCAATGGGTCTGAATTTATATTTTCTGTCAGGTGTTGAAGCCTATAGTCGATCTTTACATGTTTAATAGTACGTTACTTTCTATTTTCAACCTCATATATGCTTTTAGGCAACACGTTGTCACATGTTGCAACGTTTGTGCTAAAAGCGTTTAAGACAACGAAACGTTTGTTAGTTAGAGCCAAGCAAAGAGACGAGAACTAACAATGGGAAACTCGATGTTGATCGGTGGTCTTACGAAAGCGTGAAGTAGGGGAAATAACTCCATAATTCAAATTGAGGAATGCAAGGTAACTACAATCTCTAAGTGTAGGCCTAATTCTTCAACAAACAAATTAACTATTATGCTTGTGATGAAATATGTAAGTAGGCTAAAGTGAATATTTTGGTGTGTTAATGTTCTATAACAAAAAGAAACCATATCGAGTAATGCAAGGTGTACATGCTGTCTGTGTTTGTATGTACATGTACATGTATGTTTCTTATGGTTTCAAGTAAGAAACGCGGAAGTTTGGATTTGCGACAGCTGTAAATGATAAAATTCACCGACTCCTGTCCAGGTCATATATAGACAATTAGAAGAGTTATCCAACATTAATTATAAGTGGACAGGGCAGGAAGCTTGGTGACGTATTAACAGTACCCTTACGGGTTTAGTTACTAATTAAGAAGACGGAATGGTTCTACATGCAAAACTATTCGTTAGGCCACTACAACCACGGTGCGGTTTATTTAGCTCGCAATATTAACTTTTTCCTTCTGCAATTTAAAATCTAGAACATGTTTACGCTACGTATAATATACGGTCCATGATGTAAGATCCATGGTCAATGATCAACGCCTTGTGATGTGACGTCACATGTAGAAGACATTTGAACTTATAAAGGTCGGTCATCTTATACACAGTTATAAGAAGGCCTTCGCAATACCTCAATGAAACAGATTGGCAACCGCGTCCAATACTTTCCTTTAGATGGGTAAGGGGAAGTAACTCCAAATTGCAAGTAATAGTTGCATTCGTCAGACCACTGTTGTTTTCTATCCAACCCACAAAGTGGCATTAGACTAATTTCCTTTGATGTTTATTATGACATAGGGCGTTCTCATCCCACATATATATATTTTTACATCCTTACCGATTCGATAAAGGTTATCGATTCAGATACTATACCGATCGGTAGAGTAACTAACAATCACGATGGTACTTATATAACAAATAAATGTGAGGCACTAATAGTAAATGTTTTAAGCGAAATGTATGGGATTATAAACAGACCGATCTTAACGTTATGAAACAAGATATTGCAAAATAATCGCATCAATAGTAAACACGGACAATAGTCACATGGCGTGTAGGATTTTTTTCTGAAGGGAGGTAATATTCGCAGCGATGAGTTTGGTTTGATTCTGAGTGAAGAAGCGAGGTGCGAATTCGAGATAGATTAAGAAACATTTTTTTAGAACAAAAAATCAGCTATTAGAAAATGAATTTAAAAAACTAAAAAATAATGTCAATAATTTAAAAAATCAAGGAAAACAACGTTTTCAATGAAAAAGCAACGATAATCTGGAAGAAATGAAACCCACAAATACCAAAGGGCATTTTAAAACAATCAATTTGTTAATATAAAATAAATGCCCTTTAAATAATTTACCCCCTATTAAAGATCCATTAACAATATAAACTTATTAGGATATGAATCTAGTGTGAAATCTGAAATACTGATTTCAGCTCTATTACAAATTTAAACAATTCTTGTGTAGATTTACCTCAATTCGAGGAAAGACGTGCGATTGAATTATGCCATAAAACTGTAACCGAACTGGACGTAGTTGATGCTATTTCTACGTTGGAAGCTAACAAATTTGTGGGACCGGACATTATATGCAATACAATTTTAATGTTGATTGCATCAAAACATGAAGTTTCAAAACTACTTTGCATGCTTTTAACAAGTCTCTTAGAGAAAAACGTTTTCCTGTAGATTGAAAACTTGCCCATGTTATTCCTCTATTCAAAAATGGGGAGAAATTATTGACAAGTAACTGTAGACCCGTTTCTCTTTTATCCGGTACAAGTAAGCTATTCGAAAGATAATATTCAAACATATCTTTAACAGCTTGATATTTAATAAGTTGCTCTATAGATTTCAATCAGGATTTTTACCTGTTGCTTCCACCACTCATCAACTTATTAAGCCATACCATGAAATTTTATGTGCACTTGAAAAGGAATAAAAATAACTAGCATAACTTATGAAGATATTATGCAGATATTGAAAAGAAACAAATTTTATGTACACTTGAAAAGAAACAAAAAAAAAAAAAAAAAGCATAAAGGACTGCTGTTAAAATTGGAAAGATATGGGATTAAAGGAAATTTACTGAGTTGGCTCAAAAGTTATTTGACAAATAGATCTCAGAAAGTACATGCTTAAAGAAGTATTATATGACAAATGCGAGCTCAAAGCGGGTGTGCCTCAATGGCCAGTCTTAAGAACTTTGCTTTTTCTTATAATTTATCAATGACATTGCAGACGGTACAGTAGGACTAGGTAGACCTTTTGCAGACGATACTTCTATTGGACATGTGGCTTCGAATTACAAAACTTTACAAAATATAATCAATATAGATTTAAATTCTGTAAATGAGTCGCCAAAAAAGTGGCTGGTTAAATTCACTAATAAAACTGACACAATGGTTTTTAGTTTAACAAACGTGGAAAGTAATCTGATATTTGATTTTCGTGAAACGACACTAAAACCTGTCAACATACATAAATATTTAGGAATTATCTTCAGTAGCGACTATAAATGGACTAATCATATTGATAAAATGATTAGCAATGCCTCGAAACAGTTAAACGTTTTAAGAAAACTGAAATATAAATTAAAGAGAGAAATGTATTTAACATTTATAAGGCGAATACTGGAATATTCATCTGAAGTGTGGGTCAATTGTAGAAAAATCAATTCTGAGCGTGTAGCAAAGCTCCAAATTGAATTGGCAGCTTGCATTGTAACGGGCTAGGCTTAACAAGTTTAGAATCCATTTATAAAGAGTCGGCGTGAGAAACTCTAAAAATTCGGAGGCTGGTCAGGTAATTGTCATTATTCTATAAAATTGTATATGCCTGAATATCTTACAGAACTTATATCAGATATATTATGACAAAATAACAGTTATGATCTGCGCAACTCCCAAGATCAGAGTCAGAGTCTAATCAGACTGTCAGCACATCAAAATTCCCTTTTTTTCCTACCCACTGTTACATCTGTGGAACTCTTTGGATTTACATTTGAGATACTTACCAACATTGTCTCTTTTTTATTTTTACGTGTGGTGATCTATATTTAAACATTTTAAACTGCTAATAAATGCAACGTCTTAAATAGAGATTATCTCAAGCAAATTTAGATGATAGTTTTGTTTGTTCATGTGGATGTGATATTGAAAACGCAAACAATTTCTTATTATCTTGTTCAAAATATAATATTCATAGATTACACACGTCATGATAACAAAATTGGAGATATTACAATTTGATGAAATAATATTAAGTTCTGATATTTTGTTGTATGGTAATGAATTACTAAACTGTGAAACTAACGTGCATATTTTATTACGTGTTGAGAGATATATAAAAATGCAGGTTGCTTTTCTTAATGACACATTGGAAGTTCAAATAATGCTCATTTGTGTGAATTCTTTGCAATAAATATTAACCTATGTGTTTAAAGATAGTTGCGAGACTCGTTGTACGATCACACGTCTTTGTTATTATTTGTGTTACGATTCAGAGACAAAACACAATATAAAAATTCTGTAAATTAAATGATATGTTATAATTATTCTTCACCTTTCCGAAATTTATACCTGAGAATATGAGTTCACATATGAGAATATATAGTGTACAGTTAATCCACTAAGTAACACATGGCCTAGAAGGGTCTGACACAATTAAATTGAAATAATTTGATGGTGCACTTTGAAATTATTATGAAATTAAATTTCAAGAAGTTTCTACACATGAGTTCCATTATGATTATTTGTTTATGTAAATGAATATATATGAGATATTTAATATGTTTAATATGTTTAAATTAAAAAAAATCCCACCACATTCATATCTTTCTACCACAGTACACACCACATTCAAATCTTTCTATCCCATTAGGAAAAACATTGACAGGAAATTTAAATTCAAATGAACAAAATTTATCACGAGGGAATAGGCCAATACTGTTTGTAAATTGTTCTCAAGTCTTATTGTAACCGCGAGTTACACCTTGAATTGACAAGCAAATAAGTGAATAGAATTTGTTACAGAGTGAAAAGAAACCCCAAACAATTTTATAGTTTATTAAAAAATATATTTTAAAATAATGTACATAATGTATAATTTTTTTTACATTCTATACCGGATCATAAAACTTTTATAATTTTAATCAAATATAAATATACGTAATATACTTTATTTCATTATAATACAAAATGACGACAGATAATGATTGTGATGTTCTATCTAGAGAACAACGAGAACAGATGAAATGTGTTTTGAACCGAAACATCATTTTCCCTCAATTATTTTTTTTTCTAACAGTGATATTTTTATACCTCGACATCTAAGCATTTCAAGATCTGAAATTTGAACAGTCTGCAAAATTGAAAGCGTAAGACACAACAGATTGTTATATTAAATTTTGAAGTCCCATCTGGCCGTTGTTCTTTTTAATATGGATGATATTTGTGGTAGATTAATCATTGTTGATAATATATGAACAACAAAGCAATACGCGCCTAATATATACCATGATGAAATATAAAAATGGTCTATAAACGTCTTTGTTGACAATGCTGTTTGAGACTCTATAGAAGAATAATTTAAACATATCAAAAAGAAAATTGTGAAATAAAGCAGGCAATTGTTGATAAAATAGATTGTAAATTTAATTGTTGATAACGTGTGGAAGTTTTTGACGAAGTTGAGATTCTGTAGAAATTTATTTATAAAAATAATTGTTGATAAACAGAGAATCTCCTACGAGTCTTTTTCGATATCATAAACGACGAGTAGGAGATTTTATTTATCACCCAATCCTTTCTTACATGCACAAATAAATAAATATAATTCTTTGCTATAGATTTCACTTTTACTGAACCTGATTACATTACGGCGTAGTGATACACCATTTTTTGACAGCAATTCAACCATTGCAAAGTCCTTTATATTGACCCAGTGTTTCCATCAAGGCCAATTAAATAAAAAAAAAGTTCATTTTTAATAAAAAAAAAAGAAGTTACTTTGAACAAAAAATGAACTGTTCTTTGAAAATAGAAAAAAGTAGTTCCCTTTTAACTGACCAATCAAATTCATGTAAAGCGATATCTCCTAAGGAGATATCAAAGTAGATTCTGAATGTTATCATACAAGCGATATCTAGTGTAGAATGTGTTATTGAGTGATAAAGTAATTTGACGATATTCTGCAGAACAATATTTATAAAAATGCAAACAATATTGTTGACGATATTTGTCAAAATAATTTATATTGATCAATAGGTAAACACATTTTTTTTATAAAGTAGTTGATATGATATATAGGCTTCGTAGAACAATAGTGATCATACTAATAGAGTCGTTCACTGAGAACTCCGTAGAAAAATAGTTATCAAAAAATGAGGTTGATTAATGACATGTTGTGGATTAATATGTTACATTACTGAGAAGAGTTATGGAAAGAGTTTTAGTTAGAGTCTTCTAAATGTATATATAAATTAATGTTAAGTTTCAAAACTCATTTGAGAAATATTGATGTTTTCTTTTACACTCATAATTCATTTAAGAAATATTGTTGTTTTCTTTTACACTGTCATAATATTATTTAGTTTAATAAATACATCTTGTCATTCTTACCAAATGTTGTGAATCAGATATATATTGAATATATAATCTAATCACAGCTACTATAATGCATAAAATACTAAATCAGTAGATGATAATGCTGAATTTTTATCACATGACCTTATCGAAAATTCCCTAAAATTTACTCCCGGAAACTTTTGATTCAAAACCACACATAGAAATCTAATTATTCACAGCTCCTTTCCGTTGTTATATGGAACTATTTGAGGTGTATCATCTGATAAATCCGTTCCTTCCGTAGTTGTTTTATCACTGCCCTTTTCACTGTCAGGCTCCATTGCCATGTTGAGATACGTCGTTTTCTCCCTTGGATAAGAACCCTTTCTTCTGCATTGAAAAATAATATGTTAATTATATGAAGGATAAACCTCTAAATTCAAAAATCTATAAATGTATTATCAGTGAGCTGAAAAGAAAATGTGTATCTCTTATCGCTCTCTACTTCAATACTAAGCATAATTCGTTATTTCCATTCTAATTCTTCAAATCATTGTTTCAATAAAACGTAGCAAAGATCTCTGTGTTAAAATTATATTTGGAATATTATGTAGTATTGGCGTGTGCCATCATTGTTCTTTAATGTACTCTTAACACCAACTACGTCATTTTTGGCTAAACATATTGTACTTGCCTTTGTCTGTTCTTATAAATAATAGCACCAACCAGGAATATTATCAGAGCAACAAAAATAATTACTGCTATTACAATCACTGAAAATAGAAAATAAGTGACACTGACTATTTCATTGTGAAATATTAAGATTCTTCAATGAGTTGAACGTTAAAGTTTTTGAGCGGGATTTCAGCGATATTGGGATCCCATAATAACTACAACACTGTAAAAGTTGAATATCTAATAGGAATATCTGCCCATTTATGGTTTAATTCCGTTCGGCATTTACAAAGATATGCTGAACATAAATTCCATCGATCAATGTTGCTCCCTCTTTAAACAAGCCCACCGCCATCTTTGTTTCGCTACATCTAATTATTCTACCTGTTTTTAATCTGACTGAATCCAAGTCGTTGGTATTTTGATTTTGTTTTCTTAAGTAAATGTTAAATAATCTTATTAGTGTAAATTAATCAATGAGAATTTTGACATTTTTCTCAAAATTCAAATGAAGTACATAGTCTTTAAGTACAGCTTTTTAACGGTACCATGGTTATACATCATCTTGTCTGTTTACTTTATCAAACGTTTATATTACCTGCAATTACTTTGTTGTCCATTCCGGACTTTGTCGAACTTTCGGTCACATTGGTAGTGTTTTCTATGGGAGTCGTAGAGTCAGGAATTAAAGGACGCCCAGATGTACTTTTAGTTGTGCCTATGGATACTGATACTGACGTGGTGGGGTTCTCTGTGCTGGTTGGTGTAACGTCTGAGTTCGCCGTCTGCATGCTGGATATAGAGGTCAGTTCGGTAGTTGCACTAGTCGCAGCATTACCTGTCGTTGTTTGTTCTGTAACGTTTGAGGTCATAGCTGTAGACGATGAAGTTGGTACATTTGGTGGTGTCGTTGTTTGTTCTGTAACGTTTGAGGTCATAGTCTCCGTAGACGATTTATTTGGTACATTTGGTGGTGTCGTTGTTTGTTCTGTAACGTTTGAGGTCACAGTCTCTGTAGAAGATGAAGTTGGTACATTTGGTGGTGCTGTTGATTCATTAAGAATGTTGGTAGTTGCTGTAGATGATGGGTTTGTCGTTGATAATGTTTCTACTGAGAGCGTTGTTGAAGAAACAGATGGGACTGCTGCAGTGGATGAAACTATCGATGTTAATGAGTTAGTAGTGGTGGGGATGCTTGTTACTGTTAATGGATTTGTCGATGTAGTTATCTTTGATAATGGCGGAGTGGTCGTTGCCGATGTGGATGTTATCACTGATGGTGTTGAAGATGGCAACTGTGTTGTTGTTGTTGGCGGAGTTGTTGCGGGTGGCATTGTTGTGGCTGATGGTGTCGACATAACCGCGGAAGAAGTAGCTTTGCTAGATGCTGAGGGGATAGTCATTGTCGAAAAAGTTGCATCGCCCGTTGATGCCGAAGGGATTGTCGTTGCGGAAGGAGTTGTAGATTCGGTAGATTTTGTCGTGGCTATTGTTGTGCTATCTGTTGTTGAAGATTCGGGTGATGTGGTAGTTTGGGATGCACATGTCATGGATACATTACCCACAGAGCCTGCAATATAATGTATTTTGTTTTAGACATTTAAGTTTGAACAATTAATCGGGAAGCTTAGTAGTCAGCAATCTGGGTATCAGAGAAATCAGGAAACCACTGCGATCTCCGAGCATATTACAACATAATCGCAGAAAAGACCCATACTAATATCGTTTTATATTTCCTTAATGTATAAAATAACCTCGCCCAATAGGAAAAGTCTCTATAAAATCTTAAGTGTAGCTACTTGCTCTACGGAAGTTGGTTCGTAACCTTTGGAAAATGTATTTATTTGATCTATTAAAGTACAAAATATTTTCCATCCAAATAACTCAAATCATGTTCAGTCTTTGCTTATTGTACATTTAACACATAATATTATGGCTATTTACAGTTTACCGATCTAAAGCCTTCCATATGTTCATAAATATACCCCACTTTTTAAATTAGTGTTCAAATAACGTTGGATTACAATTAACGAGGTTATTGAGAAATATTATTTGAGATGATTTCTAATAAATATCCATATTTAGCAGTTGATGGGAAAGGCGGGCTAGAGAAGGCAAATCATTCCTACTGATTCCAGGTTATTGCCACTTACCGGTTGCTGTTGTAGATGCCTGTATAATTACACAATATCTTACATCGGCGGGAGATGTCGTTTGCCTAGTAATTACATCCAATGTTTTTCTAGTTAGAGTGTCGAGTCTCGTCCCAGCTACATCACAACGAAACGTTACTGGGAAAATAGATGAGAATTGAATCTCAGACCCACAGCCTGCATAGCCTGGTGCAGAATACATATTAATATCCAACGAATCCACATTGGTTGATAATCGACATACACAGGACGTATCATCGGGGGTCATTTCTGAAGTATCCATGAATATTCTTGATCCAGATATGCTGCCATCAACACAAGGTTTTACAACTACAAAAAATGGAGAACTTACAATTAATTTCATTTAAATATTGAGAGAATTTTTAGTTCAAATACAGGATGCTTTAATGTAATCGAACAGGTTGACATTAAAATATATAAGATATCGAATTAATTCTCTATTAAAGTAGATGGAGAACTTGCAATTAATATCATTTAATTAGAAATAAATGGGGTTTAACGTTCTACTATTTTGCTCCTAAACTGGGCTAATGAAGACGGGCATACAATTAATTTCATTTAAATATTGAGAGAATTTTTAGTTCAAATACAGGATGCTTTAATGTAATCGAACAGGGTGACATTAAAATATATAAGATATCGAATTAATTCTCTATTAAAGTAGATGGAGAACTTGCAATTAATATTATTTAATTAGAAATGAAATGGGGTTTAACGTTCTACTATTTTGCTCCTAAACTGGGCGAATGAAGACGGACATACGCCATACAGTGTGCTATGAGGGAAATTTTGCCCGGGCAACGGCGCTACGGCCTACTCTTATATCGAATTCCAACTGCCAAGGGATCTTTTACGTGCACGCCAATTTGTACACGGGACCTCGGTTTTTCGTCCCATCCGAACGACTAGACAGCTGTCCTTGTCAGGCCCTCCGTCCTGCATCACTGACAAGGGGGAAACCACGCCGGAAAATCTGGATGAACTTTCTCGGCCAATGCAGGGATCGAACACCCGACCTCCAGGCTAGCGAGCCAGCGCCTTACCCACTTAGCCACGTGATCCCCCCATTTAATAAGAGTCGAAGTAGACAGGACAATTCTATATGGTATGCTCTGATGCAATCGAACTTTGTGGCATGAAATTATTGTGATAGATTGCAACTGTAACCGAATTAAGTCACGATGAAGGTAGAAGCGTTGTCAAACGCTTGCGTGATCATAATGTCCAAGGAGTGGCGTGGTTTCGAACCCACACTTGTACTTGCATAACCCCTTGGGAGATCCCAGATCCTCCCACTACCAAAGACCCCTACGTACAAGCAAATTATTAAAGGCTCAATACAACTCTTGTTGTAACAGAATACTATGTCCCAATCTTTATTCTGGTCAACAAATTATACTATTTTACAGTATTCCAATTAATTGATGATACAAATTTCATCTTAACACGCCTAATTTAAAAAATTGGAAAAATCAACTAAATGATTTGAAAAGCCTAACGTAAACCTTTTCAAATGTGACTTGGATTTAAAAACATTTTCGAACCCTCTGGACAAGTAAAATAGGATGTAATGGATAATTTACACAACAGGTAGGGCACTTAAACATCTAATAGTTATAATAAGGCTAATATTTATTTACTGGAGCTGTCAAGCCAGCAAGAGTGTTATCGTCCCTTTAAAATAAATTGGTATCATATGTCAGTCCCTAAATGACCTAGGTTTTGTTGAGTTGACGTTAAACACAATTTCTTTTCTCTCTCTCTCTCTCTCTGACCATGCCTAAATCTCCTCCTTATCTCTGATATGAAATCAATAATACTTAACAATCCGTTCTGTACACAAGACAGTTAAGGTTATTATTGGCAAGTTAATATAAAACTCATCCACAGTACTACTTCAGCAGTAGATTCATTTTTACTTTTCTGGCAACATAACTGTAAAGTGCTCGTAATATATTAGGGATCTACGACTCATTGACGACCATAGAAAATCTAAGAAAAAGAGGGAACAGGGTTTAACGTATACTCAAGAAAAATCATTTTGTAAAATATGACTAAGGTCTGTTTATCTTTGATAATTTACCTATGTTACACGCCACAACCAACATAGCTGTGGGTTCGGGTAAGCTATTAGGGAGAATTGTAAAACCTAAGGGCAATCACTCCCCCCCCACCGGTCACCACTTCCATGACATGTAAAATCGTGGGGTTGAACCGACAATAAATTATGAAACTGGCTATAACCAAATGCTCAAGGGAGCATAACCATGAAAGATGGAGCGAAATTTAAAGAATGGGGCTAGAACGTAGTAACTTCAACAATGATTAACCCTAACTTTAGGTCAACTTTTACGTGACACGTTAAATCAAACAGTGATTTTCTTAAATCCGAACAAATGATCTAATCTAAAAAATGGTCCTTTTTGTGATTGTCTAAGAATCATCATGACAATAGAAGGCGTTACATTTAACCAACGTAATTACATAGTAATGAGAGGGTCATACGTTGATTTAGTGGGAGTGATGGATTGTTTGATATAAACAAAGTGAAAAAGAAAACTATAAGTAAAGTATCTATTTCCACGGGTTCGAATCTTTCTATAAGCTTAACAGATGCGGGCAAAAATATTGAAATGCAGTTCATAAACTGGCATCGTATTCTCAACTATAGGATTTAGCATCCATTTTGTTCCGTACGTTATAGTCAAATGTTCTAACCCAAATTCTGTAGTACATTAATATAATCTTGATATGACCTCTATTCCTTATCAGATGTTTGATTTACTCGACGGAGAAAAGATATTTGATATAGCGCACACAAAAAGTGTTTAATATAAGAATAGAGTCAAGACTATAAAATGTCTAGTTTATAATTTCCCCGTCTATTATTACAGGGCTTATATTGTTACACGAGATACAAGAATTAGGATGAAATATAGCCATCTGACATAGTAAAATGACATTCCTAAAATTTTACATTAAGATTCCGGACAGGACTCATCTATTAATTTTAAAGTAGTAAAATGTTAGCCATGTCAAATTCTCCAAGACGTTTACGGCATACTATGCCTCTGGCACGTAAATCCTTTACTACTGATAGCTTAATGGAACGCAATCCAGATCGGGGAATTTTGGGGGGGGGGGTAGATCTATGAGTGCGGGGAGATAGGTGCAGACTGTCTGGTGCATGTCCTCCTAGTTTGAACTTGAATTTCGCAAACTATATGGTAGAAGCTACATCCAAGGAAAATGCATATCTGTATAAGTTTTGTCACATACGCTGAGCAAGGATCACAATAGACGTGTGTGTAATTAGAGATATATCTTTAGTTGCTCTACCTTGTGATTTCTTACAGTATCCAAATATAAAGATGTGTATAGGGTATGTGCTGTAAATAATGTTTCTATTAAACATACATTATGCAAGAGCTAAATCTGCATAAATATAACCTATTAATTACATATTTATTAACAAATTTAAAGTTATAAATTGTGGAACATTTAACTTGCAAATACTAGTAATTTTTTTCAATAAAACCCATATAGCTCCACTTGGTATCGATGTAGACCACATTGATAAATAAGGATAACTTAATATACCAGAAGGGCGTTGGCTTGTTTTACTTCAGTAACAAGACCCGGGTAGAAGGGGATTTTCCTATTGTTACACCTCTATTGTTACCCACCTAGAACATGTGCACCTGTAATTGTTATATACAGGTAAAGTCAATATTGACTGATTTTCTACATTCATGTTATTATACTATACCTTGTACTGAACTAGGACATTCACCACCTGCAATAGAATCAAACATTATGGTAATTTATCAAAGATTATGACGTAAATTCCTTAAGTTTTTGTATTAATGACTTCCTTGCCAATTTTACGTAGATTTACGATTGGGTGGAATTATTTAAGGACATCTGACAGATTAGCTTCCTTGAAAGTCTAAACTTATTTTGAATCTTAAGATGAACGTTCAAAACATCCCACCCTTCGTGGAAATGGACGTAAAACTCCAGGAACGAACGAAATGACACTAATATCTCGGCCACCCTTGGTAAAGATTCGACTACCTTGTGGCTATACTAAATCGATACTAAACATCGTGTCAACTATTTAATTCTAATGTTGTACTTCCGATCCAAGGCGAATCAAATCTCGATTTTAGACACAATATAACCACAGAAGCAGTGAAATTAGTAGGGGAGGGCAAAATGATTCATTGGTTAACAATATTGCTACTTAGTAATCGAAAAAGTATGGCGTATGTGTTGTATGACAACAAAAATGAAGCTTAAAATGTAGTAAACAAATATGAAAACAAACATTCAGACTCAAAATAACACCAACTTATATTTTTACCGTTAAGCCTTATCCGAAAATAACTTAAACATTGAATATGCAAATAATATTTATCATTATGTACTGTTGAAGGGTTTATGATGTTTTGAAGAAATATACATTTTAGCAGCATGTCTAAGACATTAATGGTGAACAAAAAGTGAACGGAATTCGTAATTATTGGAGAAACCTAATATTAAGATATATTTTATATACAGTAAAATACCAACAATCAAGATACGGATGATTGCATAGCCTAGGGTCTTAATAAATCACTGAAACAAAGCTGATATTAAACGACAGCTATATTTACTGCTTAATCCACGATGAGTGTTTTTGATATTTTAGTACTGCTATAACCTTGAATCGCAAGCATGTGTGAATTATTAATAAGTTAAAATGACTAAGCTTAGTCTTTGGAGTTTGTATGTTAAACTGCGTTATGGGATAACAATCTGTCTTCGTTGAAAATCGTTTGATAAAGCTAGATGTAATTGATTTTGTGTTCCATTGTTGACAAAGTATGCCAAAAATTAAACTAAAATTATTAAACAAGCCTGTTTCTAGTTAATCTTTCGAAACATATTAAAATTATATGGAACTGTTCCATCACTAATTGAAAAACACAACAAATACCCCGCCCACCCCCAAGTCATTCTTTATTTTGACATAATCAAAGCAGTTTAGCTCCTTTATTGTTGGCTATAACTATACAGCGTAATTTAATGTCGAACTTAAACGAAACGAAAATAATTGCATTTCGTTTCTGGATATGGAAATTAAAACCCAGTTTATACTACGAAAACTCTTTGGTGCCAGGAGCAATATTACCAGTAAATACTTAGCGTTATATAGCAGACAAATCATATACATGACGTACTTTACGTAAAACACATACTATGATAATAACTATGATTCTTCACTATGAAATCCTAGAAATATATGGAAGTCGACAAGGCAACGTGAAGTTAGCACGTTATTCGGGATTCGTGTTTCGAATAAATGTATAATTTGATGGTTTAGTGACAAATTAAAGCCTGACTCTTGTAGAAGTCCTTTTATACACATAATTGATATTTTTCATTCTAAGCAACAGGACAAGAATAGCTGACAATGGCTTTCCACCTGCGTTTTAACATGTGGTCTATAGAATATACTCAACAACTATGATTTCAGTTAAGGTTGGTAATTAATTCCCCTGAGAAATAACATTCTTTTGCACCTCTTTTCTTCCTGATAATTCTATAATTGAATAGTATTAACAACGCGAATCACAGGGATTAGGGAGAGGTCAGAGTTTAAATTTCAAAATTTAAAATACCTACCTCTTACAACGGATACTGATATCCAAATCACAGTTAAAACCCATAAAATATCATCCTTTAATACTGTTTTCTTTAAATAAGGCATCTTGGTCCACACCGAACGATGTACACGACAAAAATATTGTCTAAATCACAGCCTCGTCTCGACGGTCATCACACTACACAAGTCGTTTAACATTAATATTATAATCACGTTGGTTAAAAACAATGTCTATGAAGCGTGTGTGAAACGCCCAAGAAAATATATTTCAACGAAACAGTTACCTGGTGACTCGATTTGTAATATATTTGTTACTTTGTGCAAAAAACAAGGTGTAAGTGGCTATATATAATTTTTCTAAAACACGAGTGTCGTAATCCCTAGGTTTACTCTCCTTGCTATTCTTGTCACCAATTCCTAAACGTGCTTCAACGTTCGTCACATCAAACCCCGTTTAGTCTTCTCAAGTCTCACGTAGACGTGCAGGTCAAGAAAGAATAAAAAATCATTTCGGTGGCCGGACGAACTGTTCCATTGACATTTGATCGACAGAAGAGAAACGATTAATTCTCACGGCTGACAGCCTAAACCAAGAATTCCAAGTATTAGGGTAGCTCAATATCTTAGAAAAAGATAGCCACGACGAAACGACTAGGATAGTAATATCCAGTGAAATTAGATAGGATTTCTATTGTATTCTTTATTGTGTTATCGTTACATTTCATCAAGCCTTTAAACAAAATGATCAGTGTATTTGAACATTAAATAGTGTAAAAGAATATGCCCGCCAGGACAATGGGTGACTGCGTTATAGTGTGTAATTACCGCAGTTCATTTCAGAAGCAACAACCAGTGCTTAGCATCCCAGTGAGATTACACCAAACATTGTTTTTGTGATCTGGGAAATTATTTTTATATAATGACAGTTTAACTCCATTTAATGCACATTTAAATGTCCGGCTATTGTGAACTGAACAGTAAATACCGATCGTGACATCTTTGTGAGAAAGTTAAAGTAGCGAAAGCCAATCGGGTTTTATTTTATTTATCTGGTTGTTATAAGAATTGTTGACAATTGGAAAAGTGGCACCGCCATTACTCATGGAAATTTTTTGTTTTTAGGTTGTCGTTACTTCGTTAAAATCTGTTCGTATTATTATATTATTTTATTATATAGTCGCCAGAACGTATTATTTATATAAGGCATGTTCAGATTTAAGTTGAAAAGTAGCATGGTACCATATGGACCATGTGATGGTAAATTGTTTATTTAAATCATTCAACCGTGCTAATCGCCATCGCACATAAACCCGTGTCAACACATATGGTTTCAAAGTAATAGATATGATATTTTCTTACACAAGTATTATTACCCTCGGTTCAGAATAGACTATTGCATCAGTTTATTGTCTGGGATTAATCTAGCTAGCTACAGTCACCATGGCTCCAATTGTAAGAGGGTTGCATCTCTTATAGTTCATCGATGTGTCAGTGAAACGTTAACTGGCAAACAGACGGACGTACAAATTCGAGTATTATTTTATCCCAGATATTATTAAATGGCATAAATGATATTACTATTATAATTATGATTTTTCACCACGTTAATAGATTTGTCAACATTTCACGAACGCGCAATTAATATAATATTAAAACTATAAATTAATGGCAAACCTGAAACAGATTATTTTTATGATTATTCATATCTATGTTTTCATGGATTGGTTATTATATTGATCTTTAATGCATTGCTGGCATGGATCAAGCATTTTCAGTAATCAAGTGGTTGGTATCAAGGGCGTGGATTTGTCATAACTTGAGGGGGGGGGGGCGGGCGGATGAACCCTGGAACCTTTCATTACCAAACAAAAATAATAATTACGAACAGTTTACCAGTGTTATTTTGATGAAAGCTGTAACTAGGGGTAATATAATGACGATATGGTAAAATTGACTACCTACAATTACGTCGTGAAAATGAATTACTGTGGCGAGACCCAAGGCAGTGGTTAGATAGCCTTCAGAACGGGACATTCATGTGGATATAAACCTGAAAATCTGTCTGGGCGATCAAAATCATGGAGGGGACAGAGACCTATTCGTCCCCCTTTCGATTCTAATGGGGGGTCCTGCCCCCCGCCCCCGCCTCCCTCCCCCTAAATCCACGCCCATGGTTTGTATGTGTGTGTGTGTGTGGGGGGGGATGCGTACAACGAAGTGTTTTGTGAAGCCAATCCAAATTCAGACTCCTTTAAAGTTTGGGAGCCTCGATGGCTCGGTGAGCTGTGCCATGTTCAAACCCTGTATTGACCGAGAAAGTTCATCAGTATATTCCAGCGTGGTTCCCGTATTGTTAGTGGTGCAGGACGGAGGGCCTGTCAAAATAAGGGGCACACTGTCGTTCATATGAGACGAAAAATCAAGCTCATGTATACATATTAGCGTGTACTTAAATGAACCATTGACAACTGGAATTCGATATAAAAGTAAGTCGTAGTGCCGCTGTCCGAACACACTTTCCCTCATGCAGTAGTCGGCGCAGAACCTTAGGACGTTAAACCCCATTTGATTTGATTTCATTTCATTTTAAATTCAAGCATAAATAACTTTACTTGCTTTGTATAGTTAGCTATATAATTAGTTCACAGAGCCGCCATATATAATTTGATGGTTTAATTTTTATATTTATAACGTAAAACAGCTTTGTTATTGATATCTGGCATTCGTTGATAAAAGTAGCTATCACGTGATTGTCACGTGACCTGGTGTACAAATGTCTTCAACAACTCGTGATTTGTGTAGCTGTACGTACTATAAAATCAATAATAGATTGGTCACATGATTATTTTGAGGTCAGCTTGGTATATGTATCCCAGAAAGTATACATGTCGTTATTAATCACAAGATAGATTCGAGGGATTTATACAAGGCTGTCGATCTACTGAATTGAATAGCCTAACCATGAAGGCAGTGGGCCTCTTGTCAGTTGTTTTAACACTGCCTTTATGCTTCGGTAAGTCAGTGTTATTTTTAACCTATTGCCATCTCTACTTGCCTATTGGGGGGTTGGATGGCTGAATGGTTAGCGTGTGCGCGCTGTATCATACAGTCTGTCATTGAGTCTACTGGCGTGGTTTCGAATCCCCGGTTGTACGTGGCAAGGAGTAGGGTCGCCTGTCCAACCTCGTGGGTTTTCTCCGGGTCCTCCGATTTCCTCCCACTGCTAAAGACCCCTACGCGCAAGCGAATTATGTAAATAAAATTAAACCATATGTTAGTCCCGAAATGACCTAGTTTGTGTCGAGTGGACGTTAAACCCCATTTCTCTCTCTCTCTCTCTCTACTTGCCTATTATATATTACTAGCAGGATACCCGGCTTCGCTCGGGGGTCATAACTCCGAAACCAGAAGTAGTAGACTGACGCCACCTGGCCTATGTTACTCCCCTGTACGAGATACCCCTATACCCCAAATTTCAGACTCGGGGCAGACTCGGGACTAACACATGGTTCAATTTTATTTCAATAATTCGCGTTGGGGTGTTTAGCAGTGGGAGGGAACCGAAGTTATAGTCTGAAGTAACGACCTCGTTTCTTGTTTCTAAAACGGGGTGGTGAGGGAGATGCTTTTAGGGGTTTCGTCTATTGATAAAAAGTGTGTTTGGATAAAATTTAAGACAAATTTACCAAGTCTGGGGGGTAGAACTAGACATATCGTATAAATGTGTAAGCGGTTTTCAGGGAGGTTAAAAGAAAATACCTTATAATTAAATGAAGGTAAAGTAATTGTGAATATGATAATATATTTATTTTCTTTTGCGATATAGAATACCTCGTGAAATTCTCCCCCTATTCTTCCTATTCTTGAAGCAGGGTTGTCTATTTTGATGGCAATTCGCTAATATTGTTTTTTACGAATAGTAATGATATTTTATAAGCTCTAACATGTCATGCTTTGCTTCATTTTCTCTTTTTTATATATAATGGACGCGGGAAATAAGTTACACAACCGGGAATTCATTTTTTTGCCTGGAATGCTTGACTCTCCGAGAATCCTTGCTGACATACTACATATTCAGGACTATTATAATACACAAAATTATTTTGTATTTTAAAGTACATGCGTTGAATATGGTCAATAACCTATTCATCAATTGCTTTTACCTTTGTGAGTGTTACTCTCAATTGTCCTTTTCTCGGGAATGCATGACTCTCCGAGAATCCTTGCTAATATAAAACATATGCTGCATAACTATTATAAATCACGAAAGTATTTTCTATTAAGTACATGCGTTGAATATTTTCAATAACCACATTTACCAATATACATTAGTAATCTGTGTAAATCTCAAATTAATAAAAAAAATGGCTAGTGTGAATTCGAAATTGTACACACACAATTCAAATGTTGTTCTATGTGTTAATAGCGTGGTCGAATGTGTGCACCTTAGACCACCGTGTCTATCATCTATATGCGAATGGTGAAGCTTCTAGCCAAGACGGGAATGTGAGGACTGGGAATGCATGATTGCTCTGGGTACCAATTTACCCCACCAACGTACCCTCCCTTTATTTCTCTCTTTAATGGAACCTGATCAATCAAAATCTGCAATAAGTGATTTTGCCAAATGTTTAAAGTCTCTGGGCGTGGTTTTGGCGATATAGGAATCTCTGGCAAACAGCATTATTGTGAAAGGCTTATCTCTTATCAATCCAAATAATGGTTCGATTCCGTTCAGTATTTAGAAAGAATATATATATTGTTTAACATAATGCCTATGTTAGCTGTCTATCGATGTAATTTGATTTTAATGTACAATTTTAAAATGGTTGTTCATAAACATGTATTCCAGGTGGAACGTTTCAGAATGGCAGCGCATACTGTTCAGATAAAGCGTGTACATATACAGCCAATCAAGTTGATATGCTTGGTGCTACAGCCTTTGGTACCTTTAACGACAGTTTATTAGATGTTGGCTGGGGTATATTAGATATTGTAGCAGGACATGGACAAACACAAGCTCTAGATGATGATATCATGTTTGCTGCTGGATTTCTAGAAGGTGTGTTTACTGCTGCGTAAGTTTTTGTTTTTTTCTACTTTTATTTTGTTGGGTTTTCTTTAGACATATTGAATATTTTTAAGCAAATTGACAATATATGTGCATTTGTAATGCTTTTAATGGCCGTTAAGTTGACTAATATTAATAATCTTTTCAATATAGGAATGTGAATAATTTGGTAAATTGGGGTATATTTCCTATATTTATTGAGATTTTCTTACACATACCAGAGCTAATTTACGGACTTTTATTCAAATATACGTGTACATTACGAAATCAAATGGGGCTTAACGTGCTACTATTTAGCATTAACCGGGTAGCATAAGGGTAATTTTGCCTACTCTTCATCAATTTTAAACTATAACGGATATGCGGGTGGACCTTGGTTTAGCCTCCCCGCCCTGAACCACTGACAAAGGGAAAACAGTACAATACTCAATGAACCTCGTTGCTCACGTGTACACGAAGAAGCTGCTCCTTGTTTAAAGTCCGCTTCCACTGAGGGTGATATCATAGACAAGTTGTCTTATTTTGTTTTATTATATTATCGCACGCACAGGAGTCTACCTTGTGGGAAACCGGGATACATACGCCCACCACTAGGGCATCAAAATAGGTGGAAAAAGGTGCATCATCTAGTGACTCTCTGATCACGTCCATGGGTCGAATTCCATTTAATTACAGGAGAATAGCTGATCATCATAAAAACGTATTGGATATTTTCTTCAACAAACCAGAAAGTGCAGTAATTATACCTAAACTAATGAAATATTTCGCGGCACAAGATCAATGGATGAGGAAAATGATCAAGGAGAATGCCAAGAAAGATCCGTTTTGGACCCATGTTGGATTGGTAACATCTCAATTTGATGGATTATTAGAGGGTTACCAAGCTGCCCGACTTACACAAAAATCTTTACCGGTACTTATTATTTCTATAACATCTGATGTCAATTTTAATGTGAGGTATTCACATAGCGAACAAAGTGTTGTTGTGCTGTTGCATTTAAACAACTAGGTTGGTTCCTTTAGGCCCGAGGTTATCTTTTATCACGGAACCTTCGGTTTCTAAAATCCTGCTCCAAGCGGTTAATTCAGTGTCGTGCATGAGGCCAGGCATGTTTGCTCTCTCTAGGAAACCAAATCCAAATTTTCAGAGCAACGTTTCCGACCTTGATTTCAGAGGCTTTAAAGGTTTATCCGTCTCCTTTGGAAATATTTAAATCGAGCCGATATTCGTTCGTTCGTTCATACTTTCTTGAGGGTGATGTCGCCGACAAAACAAGACGTTCATCAACCTGTTTTCTTTGTAATTGTAGGATTTACAGATGTATGATTTTCAAATGATGAACAGTAATGGAGATCTATCAGATCTGATCGCCATAGTTTATCCTCAGGGTATAGCTGATTGGAGAAATATGACTAGAGAAGAAGCATTTAGATATATTATTACAGGCGGACGATGTTCGGCTATGGTGAAGGTAGGTAAAGAGTCTTGTCGGTTAAATTTCTCCTTTTGTGTTTCTATTACGTATGATGATAATAGATGTCGGGAATTCAGTAGATATATTGTGTGTTCCACTTACAAGAACAAATCATTTGTTGTTCACGGATGCAATGTTCATCTTCTTGTTTGTCTCTCTGCTTATCCACAAGAAAAACAAATAATGCAGCTTCGTGTGTCATGTAAACTAGATACTTTAATCAGCTTCAAAATGACCTACAAAATAAGTGAGAATCCCGTAAATTCCTTTTATTTTTTATTACATAATCTAGGTAAACTATTTCTTAATGTGACAAAGGGATCGATCTGATTGATATGCAATTGATATTTTCCAATCGGTGGTCGTTTCTTGCGATCAATCCAACAATTGCTACATGACACACCCCTACTCTTTTATTTCCATTCCGCATATTTCCTCTGTAATATATCCACAGGTGTTGGGAGCCTATGAAGATCTGTTTATGTCTCATTCAACGTGGTTTAATTATGGTGGTACTTCAAGAATATATAAACACTGGAATTTTAATGTCAGTAATCCAAATACAGCCGCTAAAAAGCTGTCATTCTCTAGTTACCCAGGTAATTTAACATTTTCTTTGCATAGAAATTCCGATAAAATTTCTATCTACTAACCCAATTTATGTCTTGTTCAAGATGTATTATTGTTCTCACCTGAAGCTGGCCAGCAGTGATTCCACGTTTGATCAGCGGAATGCGACTAAATGGCATCATTATTGATTTTAGTGCGCGTAAGTACTACGACGGTGTAGACTGTAGAAACTGGATAAAACTATTTCCAAAGAAGTAGAACATGAACGACAGCTAAAGGCCATTTTCAGTCAGTTGTAGGAACGCGTTGCCACCGGTTGCTTTCAGTCGTCCACAAATTACTTGCAACGTGTTGTACCCAGTCAATCTTAATCTACTTATCCAAGAAGTAACATAATATTTTCATATTATTCATAATTGTTGTGATTTGCATTAAGACACCAATGTTTGAATTTATTTTTATTTTAGGATTTTTAGAGTCTATAGATGATTTCTATATGATGAGTAGTCAGATGGTTATGTTACAGACAACTAACAATTTATTTGATAAAACACTATATAAATACTGTACTCCCCAAAGTCTGTTTGCCTGGCAGAGAGTTCGGGTAGCTAATATGATGGCAAATTCTGGTGAGGAATGGGCTAAAGCTCTTGAGCGATATAATTCAGGTGAGTTGTCGGCCCAAGAAAGTTGTGTCCCTTGTGATGGCAAAACTTTCCTTGTTTTCCAGATGTGGCATTAAATGCATGTTACTTTGTAATTTACAATGATACCTACTATATGAATGTATGTAGTATTATACCATAATAATATAACTAATACTTTGTTGTTTACACTGATACTTACCAATACTTTGTTGTTTACGGTGATGCTTACTAATACTTTGTGGTTTATGGTGATGCTTACTAATACTTTGACGTTTACGGTGATACATATTAATACTTTATCGTTTACTACATCTAGTACTTTAAGATCGATGATAGGTAGACTCCTAATATTGGCTATCAGAAAGAATCCAAAATTATTTTCCAATAATTGAATTAAGACATACTATGCTGTAAATTATTTCAGGTACATACAACAATCAGTATATGGTAATAGATCTCAAGCAGATTTCACTGGGAAAAGAAATAAGAGATAATGCATTATGGGTAGTAGAACAAATCCCTTCATTGGTAGCATCTGGTGATCAAACCAAGATATTAAGAACAGGTAAGGTGTAAACTACAAATTTATACATTATCCAAAATATAGGTACATTGATGGTAGTACAAAATATAGTACCATTAATGCTAGTCCATAAGTAAACAATATAGTAGCATTAATTATAATCCATAAGTACTGTTAATGATAGTTCATAAGTACCATTAGGATAGTCCAAAAGTACCATTAATGATAGTTCATAAGTACCATTAGCGATAGTCCATAAGTACCATTAGCAATTGTACATAAGCACAAATCGTAGTACGATTGACGATCGTCCATAATTACCAAAATAATAGCCCAAGAGTACAAATTATAGCACGACCGGCGGTAGTCCATAATTACCATTAATGATAGTTCAAAAGTACAAATTGTAGTAACGTTGAGTACCATTGATGGTAATCTAAAAGTACAAAATAACACATTAGCGTAATTTACTCATTAGATGTTTTAATGCTGTACTTTACCTTTTTATACGCCCACATTGAAATGTGGTCGTATATTGTCGTCGCCCCCGTCCGTCCGTCCGTCCGGCGTCCACAATTGCTTGTGGACGCTCTAGAGGCTAAAGTTAATATCCGATTGACTTTAAATTTATATACAGTCTCAGGCCATGAGACGAAGAAGCCTATTGATTTTCAGCGATTTCCGATAATTACTGCCAGAGTTATGGCCCTTGATCACTTCAAAAAATCTTGTGGACGCTCTAGAGGCCAAAGTTAATATCCGATTGACTTTAAATTTATACACAGTGTTTATGGTCATGAGACGAAGAAGCCTATTGATTTTCAGCGATTTCTTATAATTACTGCCAGAGTTATGGCTCTTGATCACTTCAAAAAATCTTGTGGACGCTCTAGAGGCGAAAGTTAATATCCGATTGACTTAAATTTATACACAGTGTTTAAGGTCATGAGACGAAGAAGCCTATTGATTTTCAGCGATTTCTGATAATTACTGCCAGAGTTATGGTCCTTGATCACTTTGAAAAATCTTGTGGACGCTCTAGAGTCTAAAGTTAATATCCGATTGACTTCAGATTGATACACAGAGTTTATGATCTTGAGACGAACAAGTATATTGATTTTCAATGAATTTGGAACAGCTTAATCCATGATACAGTATTAAAAGTTTTGTATACAAAACGTTAGCATGGGGCAGAACTTTATAAAAACCAAACAAATTCTAATGGTTTTCTGAGTTGTTGCTCTTAATCAGATTTTAGTGTATTATAAATGTTTCATTACCGAAAAAAGTAAAAATATGCGACAACTCTTGTTGACTGCCCGGACGATTTAGCTGCTGTGGGCGTATGTTTCGTTGCCTGACAACCTATCTTTGATTTCGGAAAGACATTGTCCGCTAATATATTTTAGATGCTTTTTGAAATGTTAACAATTATTATTTGGAGGAAGTGCAAACCAATAAGTATAAGCAATATTTCAAACTTGGGTTTGCCTGAATATGGATGTATTTTGTTGTGTAATTTGAGAATAAAACAATTCTATTGTAGGATATTGGCCATCTTATAACGTCCCGTTCTTTGATGATGTATATGAAAAAAGTGGATATCCAGATTTTGTAGCCAAACATGGCGTAGATGCTTCTTATCAACTGGCTCCTCGAGCTAAAATATTCCGTCGTGACGAGGGAAAAATATTAGATTTGGATTCCTTTAAAAATATAATGAGATATAATGGTAAGTTTAGACAATGATATATTAAGAATGATTTGCAATACATTTCACATTTAATCGAATCTGTATATAACATGTCATAGTATTGCTTGGACTATTAGATGTATATAACATGTTATAGTATTGTTTGGGCTATTAGATGTTTGATATTTAAATTAATGTTGTAACGAACAAAAATGTACACATTTAATACATGTTTAGTTTTCAACACACATTTACACATGTTAAATGTTTAGTAATGAACAAAATGTACTAGTGTTTAATACATTAATGGCGATGAACTATAATATCACCCCCTCTTTTAATACTAGATTATAAAGATGATACCTATTCAGAAAATAATCCCTGCAATACTATTTGTTGTCGTGGAGATTTAGAAGCTACAGGCGCTGGGGCGTTTGGTTGCTATGATACAAAGGTAAATAGATAAGATTTATTTCCGGATTTTAAAGCCATTTTCTTTCTCCTTTATAATTATTGAAAAATTAATCTTATTCCTTACCTTATATTGCTTGGATGTCTGCTTGCTATTTTGTTATTAGTCTTTTTCTACACTCGTCAGTATTAGCATCTGCTTCATCATCATCAGCAGCAATATGAGAAGCAGCAGCATCAACATCGGCCATAAGTAACATTACCATGAACTATCAAGGGCAATGCTTGTATTAAAGATGATGACAAATTTTCTACATCATTGTCTATCCAACAGGAAATTTTCAGTTCAATAATTAAAATGCTTGCCTGGTTATTATCATGACAATTATTCTTTGATTATTATTTTACTAGGTGACAGATTTCACAATGGCCTTGAACCTGCAAGCTGACATTGTGAATGGACCAACTTTAGGAAATAAATTACCTCCCTTTCAATGGACAGCACAGTTTAACCAGTCTCATGTTGGATTACCAAATGTATATAACTTTCCCTTTATCACAGCCAGTCCAAGATGGACCTTATAGCTAATCACGACTCTAGCCATTTTATAAAACTGTCTCTCATTTGTTCATCCTGCCGGTGATAGTTATCAATCATAAATCATCAGCTTATTATTTTTAAATCACTTTGATATTCGGAGTTTGGGGTGTAATGGTCTTCCAGAATTGTCATAGAATAATGATGAAAATTTATGTTTTCCTGCAACAGTTGGCACGGGTTCTGTTCACAATTCGGAGATATTCTTTAATATTTAAGGTAAAATATTATATTTTCATAGACTGATTCTTTTTGTGAAAAACTAAAGTAAAAGTATTAAACATATTTATTGCAAAAATGTGAACAAACGTTATACAGATAAACATTATACATTTTTAAAACCAGTAACAATTAATCTCTCAATAATAACAATAACAAGTTATTATACATGATATAATACATTCGATCATGAAATTTGTAAATGTTGATGTCAATAATAAAGTTTTGTCTGATATTTCTTTATTTTTGAGTGATATTATTTTTATGTTCAATGTTAAATTCTTTAATAGTGCAATAGAGAATTCGTCTGCTGTGGTTAATATACAAAAAGAACAATTGAAATGGGAACAAAATGTCAATTCTTTCTAACAATATATCACTTTCCGCTATGGACTTTTTTTTAGATTGCTTTAATTAGAAATCTGCTTTACTTGATTGATTTTTATGTTTAAAAAATATACAAACCATCATTAACCAAATATCATATTGTTATGTTTTTATATACTAAATAAATTTGTATTGTCAGGAATTTGTGCTGGACTTGTCACTATATAGCATTAGTTTGTTTAATGAAAACAGAAAACCAATGGTTGCCATGCAAGATACGTCCACATTTTGCAAGAGATGGATAGAGAACAAGCTAAAAACTAAAGCGAGTTTTTGTATAATCAGGGGCCATAACACAGAAAGTTATTGTGGGAAATATTCGAAAGAGACTGATATCTTTGGGATATAAAGATATATTTCAAGTATTCATCAAAGTCGGATAAAAATTGTGATCTCTAGCGGGTCCACAACCTTCTTATTATATACTTTTACACAATTTGCGTACAAAGAGTGGCCATTTTGTGGGTCAGTTTCATTTCGATTTTCCCTAAATTCTAATTTAATCTTCATTATGGTGGAATGGTGATATATTTAAATGTTTTTTTTTAAACCCGGATAAAAATTGTGACCTCAGAGAACCCGTAAGCTAAAAAAAAAACCCATGATTTTTCGTGTAATCAGGGACCGTAATCCAAGACCTTACGGTCTGATACGCGAATATCGAAAGTGACCAAGGTCTTTGGGTTATAAACATACATTTCAAGTTTCATCAAAATCTGATAAAAAAATCATAACTTCTAGAGGGTCCACAGCCATCGTATTACATACTCTTACACTATTTGTGTACAAGGAGAGGCCATTTTTCAATCGGATAAAAATTGTGACCGCTGGTGGGCCCACAAGCTAAAAACGTAATTTTCCGTATATTCAAGGGCCATAATTCAGGAAGTTACGATTCGATATGCGGGAATATCGAAAGGAACCATGATATGTGGATTATAAACATGCATTTTAAGTTTCATCAAAATTGGATGAAAAGTGTGACCTTGTTATATAATATTTTTACAGTATTTGCGTACGAGGGGCAGCCATTTTGTCCGACAGTTTTGGTCCGATTTTCACGCAATTCGTACTCAATCACCATTATGGTGTAATAATTGAACGGGTTTTAAAATTAGATAAAAACTGTGGCCTCTAGAGGGTCCACAAGCTAAAAACGTGATTGTTCGTAATATCAGGAGCCAAAAGGTGACCGTCCAATATGCGCAAATATCGAAAGGAACCGACATCTGTGAGTAATAAACATAAATTTGAAGTTTCATCAAAATCAGATAAAAATTGTGACCTCTAGAGGGTCAACAAGCTAAAACATGAATTGTGTACAATCAGGCGCCATAATCCATGCCAATATCGAAAGGAATCGAGATCGTTGGGATATAAATCTATATTTCAAGTTTTGTCATAACCTGATAAAAATTGTGACCTGTAGCATGTCAGGGACGACGACAATATAGGTCCACATGAAAATGTAGCGTATAAAAAGATCATTTAATCGGACAAGCATATAATCGGACGTTGTTAAATATAGTGTGAAGCTATATAAAAAAAAATACGTCAAGGTAAAAAAAAAAAATTTCCACTTTACTTCATTCTGACATACATTAAATCATATAAGCTAGCTATCTGCCTTCTATAGGCGTCTTCAGATATTAATAATGTATACAAAATATTGAAAATACCATACATTCTTAGAATAATAGATTACCATGACAATGGATATATATATCTACATGTATAATACATTAAAGCGAACATCTATAAGAAAACAACCAAGTTATGGAGCATATTAGTGTCATCAATTTTAGGAAAATGTCTAGTTCTATAATTTGCCTTTATTATAATACGCTTTAAAGGGTGGGGTCCATTAATTTAAAGAATATGCTCGTGACGTCACGGGTTTCTCCAGAACCACCAAGTCTATTAGAGGTAGATAGTAGAAACACGACTAATAGTTAATTTCGATGCTCAAAACACACACATTTTCTAAACAACATGGCCATAATTTTCAGCTTGGAGACATTATTTTGAAAGAGCTGTTAGTTGTATTGATGACCTCACTGACGCATTCTTGACACCAGTAAACTATTAAACCAATAACATTATAATACAGAGGTATCTTGTAACAGTGACGTCACGGTTGTTTTATCAATTAATGGAAACGCGTTATGAGAATAATCATATTATCATTATTTTTTTTATTTTGTTGATAGGCACAAATATGATGCCCAATCTCTTGAATAATGAGAAGCCATTGCCTGCATTACGATTTTGGCTTTCTTCGATGCTTCAATGGAAAGAGTATGACAAGGCAGTGATCCAAATATGCGACCGACCTTGACGATGGTTGTCCGTCGAATGGCAGGATTAGATTTAAATTATGAGACGTTTTTAGATTAGGATTACCGTGGACAAAAACATAATGCATACATTAATACACCATTTATATTTAATCTGAGATATATCGAGTAAAAGCGCATAGTAAATGTAAATGCAACCTGGATAATTATGTATTAAGGTCCATTTAATATTATTTTCATACTTTCACGACTGTACTTCATAAAACGAGTAAAAGCAATAACCGTCAATGTAGATTTAGTTAAAATATGACAAATAACAAGTAATGAGGTATTATTTAATGGATTTTCTTTTACAGCTTTTATATGATTTTATTGTAAATATATATGTTTGATTTTGTATTTATTGTATATACTGTAGTGGGCTTAATATTCCGCACAGTATATATTATTTGAACAATGTGTGCTCAATCCTAAATATATCGCTGTAAAAGTTTTCTTTAAATCAATTACTTAGTAAAAGGTTAATTTTCTTAAATGCCTAACTTTGGAAAGGAGTTTTTAGGCCTGCAGCCAAATTTTCTAGCATTTACTCGACAATACTGACGATTTTCATCATATCCTTATCGAGTTATTGCAAACATTTTGCTTGGAACTCGGGGGATTTGTGTTGCTGTTGTTATAAGGGATCACAGTGGCTCAGTTGGTAAGATGTTGGCGCGCTAACCTGGAGGTCCAGTGTTCGATCCCTGTGTTAGCCGAGAAAGTGCATCGTGGTTTTCCGGCGTGGTTCCCCCTTGTCAGTGATGCCTGACTGAGGGTCTAGCAAGGGGTAGCATATAGTCGTTCAGATGGGACTAAAAACCGAGGTCCCGTTTAAACATTGGAGTGCACGTAAAAGATACCTTGGTATTTCTGTTGTTATAAGCTTCCACAAATGTATAGTTTGTTTAGATTGAGGATCTTGTAGCGGAATTGTGTTTCTAAACAAGCTAGAAAGTTTGGCTGCAGGCCTATTTGGACAGTAAAAGAAGTAGGCAAGCTAGTGTTTAGTTTTAGTTAATGTCATGAATCGCTGCGATTCGTGAATTGGCTATATCGCTTATTTGAGAACTCTCCAAATTAGTAGGTGTATTGTCGTAATTAGGAGAAGCATCACTTAGGTCAGAACTCCCGACATTAGTAGATATATTTTCTAAATTAGGAGGTGCATCACTTATTTCAGTATTCACATTATTAGGCGGAGGAGAAGTATCCGACTCCACCACAACGTCATTCAACTCATCACTGGCATAGACCGACCCTTTATTTGGGTTAATTTCTTCCATGTAACCAGAGTTCACTGCTCCTGTCGGTTCACCATAACCGTCGTTATTTTTGGCGTTACCACCATCCACTAATTCTTCATCTCGTTTCTTTCTACTCTTTTGACTAGATGAAAAAAAATACACAATACGATATTGTTAATGAAAATAAAGTGTTACTTCACAGTTTAAAGATTAGCAATACAAAGAGGCCACAGCTTAATGATTAGGAATACATTGGGACCACCTCACAGTTTAAAGAACTTAGTTTAGATTCGCACTGTATTTTTTGACCCAGTCCTTTTCGATGGCGGAGTATAAAAATGTTACGAAAATATGATCAGAAATATCTTGTTCTTTGAGACTTACACCAGTAAGAGGACCAGTGAGAGTGTTGATGTGTCTCTGTATTCGATGCTCACTTATAATAAATGCGTGACCTTTAATAATATAATTTATAAGAAGCCACGGTAGCTCAGTGAGTAAGCAGCTGGCTCATTGAATAGGCGGACCCGGGTTGAACCCCGGTGTTCGCCAAGAAACAGCGTCTGGTCGTTCGGGTTGTACGAAAAACACAGGTCCCGTGTAAACATTGACGGACACGTAAAAGAACCCTTGACAGATGAAATTCAATTGTTGTCCGTGCAAAATGTCACTCATTGTACACTGTATGGCATGTGGTTCTCTTCATTATCATTCAATAGCTACTAATATTTCAGCAATTTGGGCTAGTTGAACTATAAAACTGTTCAATTTGTGGAGTAAAATTATTCCATAGCTACACGATGCTTACTTTTGCTATAGGCGGATGGATGTAGGTGTCATTAATGTGAAAGGAGCTTAGACTTAAATCAACGCCGATTAACCGTAGATTAGATTTATAATCATACTTACATCAACAGAACAGCAACTAACGCAATAATTAGCAGCAGAAGTCCAACGCCACATGCTACTGGTATAATTAGGTCTGTAAAAACATGAAATGTTAAAATATTGATGAATATGAGCAAACAATTTTAGCTGAATTTATGAAAGTCTATATTACATAATCTAAAAACATGATCAAATGATCAATTTGAAATAGAATCCCCACTCCAACACAAAATATGCCTCAAATACACTCGCCTGAGTTTGAATCATCTTTTGTTACTTTTCCTTTAATTCTGGACTGATCTCGGGTATCATTAGGACCAGCACCAGTTGTTGATTGTGTTGCTGGTTGAGGTCCTGTTGTTGTTGGCTGGGCCATTGTTGTTGTTGGCTGGGCCATTGTTGTTGTTGATTGGGCTATTATCGTTGTTGGTTGGGCCATTGTTGTTGTTGGTTGGGCCATTGTTGTAGTAGGTTGGGCCATTGTTGTTGTTGATTGGGCCATTGTTGTTGTTGGTTGGGCAATTGTTGTTGTTGCTTGGGTCATTGTTGTTGCTTGGACCATTGTTGTTGTTGCTTGGGTCATTGTTGTTGGTTGAGCCATTGATGTAGTAGACTGCGTTGTGGTTGGTTGCGCTGTCGTAGTTGGCGGCTGTGTTGTGGTTGGTTGTGTTGTTGATTGTGTTGTGGTTGGCTGTGTTGTTGGTTGCGTCGTAATAGGTTGTGTAGTTGGCTGTGTTGTGGTCGGTTGCGTTGTTTGTTGTTGTGTCGGCAGGGGTGTTGTTGCCTGTGTTGTGGTTGTCTGCGTTGTGGTCGGTTGGGCTGTGGGGTCAGTTGAGGTTACACCGGTTTGGCATGTAACTGTCATCGACTCACTTGAATCTTAATAAATAACACAATTTAAAGAATATAGTATGATTATAGTACTGGCAATCGTGAACAAAAGATTGCTCTATATTTATGTTACATAATATATTTGTAAACAAAGAAGAAATACCCTTCCAATTTAATGATTTGTTATCTGTATTTCTTGTCCATAACAGCTTCTTGATCTTATCAGCAAATTCTCGAATATAATTATATCTATTTTCCATTTTAGACATAAAAAACAAAACGATCATAGTCTATATATATTAACTCCCACTAAAAATGACATGAACTTTTGATTTACAGGAAAGTTGGAAGTGTGGATTTGGTTAAATTTACTGTGCCAATTTTATGTCCTTGTCGAAACTAATTAAGCCAACATGAAATATAATTGTGTAAAGCTTTTCTGGCGAATAGGGGAGATAATGTATACTCTTCAAAAAAAGTAGGGGATATTCAGAAACAATACAAAACTGCGGAAATGCACTGCTGTTTTTATTAGAGGTCAATTGCCTAAACATGAACATAAATAGTTCATATGGGCGGCTTATCTGACGGCCTCATTTCACTCGCAAAGAGATACGCCGTCAAAAGTGAAAATGGACCTGACCCACCCCCCTTGCAGTGCCACGCCCAATTCTTGCAGTGTTGTCGGTTGACGTTTACGTCGACGAACACGTCTCCCGATGAACATAAAGCAAAGATACGCTAAACAGTAAATATTATGCAAGAACAGATAGGAATGCTAACATGGATAGATAACCCAACACGCGGCAGTTTTCATCAACCCTTCCTTGAAGTGTCAAATTTGACAATGAACCCCTCCCATGTGTACGGCGCTATTGCGTGTCGGACATGCAGCTCGATCAGTGGTTCGGTTTGGGCGATAAGTTCTTCATCTGTGAACATACTCTCAAAGCATGTCAAGTGTCCATGACTATTTATCATATCACATCCTGCATAGGTATTTGCATTTCAATACCCCCTACTTTGAAAAGTATATATAAACAAGCCAACGGTGAGGCTGATGACCCTCACAAATAACTAGACTTCACTCATTGAATTTGTACATTTATTATTTTTATAAAGCATATAACAATCAAATTATTACCCCCTCCCCATATTCGTAAGTCTCAGCTAATTAATGTTCTTATCTCTGCTTGGTCTAAGCAGAAACTGCTCATCAGCCAATACATTCCCATAACGCACATAATACCCCAATTAGATCCCCAATTATTGTGTTTCAAAAGGTGGGAGAGGTAGTTGTTTAACCGAAGCGGAAAAGGCAGCCCGGAAAAGGAAGCCCAGACAAGGCATGCGCTTTTTGATTTGCAGCCCATGGGTTTCTGAGAGTCGAAGAGTCTGCAGGGATTTAGTAAAAGATTATTTAATTTGTGAATGTTGAATTAAAATCGTAAGTGCTAAAATTATCTTTGAAAATAGATTCAATTAATATACAAGTATACAATGGATTGTTAAACATTTCTTGGATTCATAACGCATAACAGGGGACCTGACAGGATCATAAACCGACCCTGTCACATACTGGGCATACCATAACAAGTTTGAACATTACTACTCAATTAGAGGTAAACTTATTGACAAGGGGACAGAATTTTTACAACGCAAGTAGGTTTCGTCCATTATAGTCTGAAAATACCTTACGTTAAACTTGCTGTTTCCAGTATATTTAACCATTACCATATTTGGTATTCAAACATATCAGATGAATATTCACGTTAAAAAAATCTTTTAACTTACTTGCTTGTAGAAATATTCTACTACATTCGCTGATTTCGTTTCCAGGGCCAATATCTTTAGCTAGCACAATATTAACTGCATCGCCATTATTTTGTAACTGAAATGGTGTGGCATAATTTGTCGATCCTAAACAATTGAATACACCACTTATTCCAGGCCTAGTCATATCCAGACGATAATCACAGGTTGACCAAGAAGACGGTGGGAAAATGGTCAAAGTTGGCTGGTTCCCGTCGCTGGTTGATTTTATGAGAGTAGCCGTACAGGTACATTGTGTTATTCTATCTGTGGCGAGGACATCTGATTCAAGATATATAGTAGTTCCGATTTTTGTCTCTGCATGACACATGCGTACAGCTGCAAAAACAAACATTAGTAAAATAATGACTTATTGTTTGGCCAGAATATTAACGAAAGTGGATTTTACATATCTAAGTATATTTCACATTATTACTGGTATGGTGACAGTTTCTAGCTCAGGGGGTGGAGTGGTCGAGTGGTACTATAACTAGACGAACTATCATTAGATCAATGGAATAATTACCCCTCTTCTAGTCAATATTTTATTTTCAAAATAGAGTTACAATACAATTAATTTAAGATATTTAGCTGAAAAGTTGATGAAGAAACGCTTTTTCAACATAACAAGGGGTGGAATTGCCACACAATTTGCAAAGTTTACAACTGAACATAACAAGAATATCCTTACAATGACTTTATATATTTATAGAAAACTCGTCATCATTAGAGTATAAATAAAAGATGTATTCAATATTGTAATTAACTTACCATTATAAGTTCCACATGACCCACCTGAAAATAATACAATAAACACTTATAATAAGTCAATATGGGCTTCTTTTTGGCGTGCCTGGCAAACAGGTCAACTACAAAGGGTCTAAGGATACCCGTAACCACTAACCAGATTGTAATCCAGATTATTTTCGAATAGTAAGCTTTAAAGTATAGGATAAATACAATATTATCTATCATTTTTCGCACACCAAGAAGTCTAAAATGTATAATTTGTAATACGATTTAGGCCTTAATCGATGAATGTGGAAATGTCGGGATTGCCTAAAAATTTGAGGTTCGGATGGGCGTATAATTCCTAGCAAGTAAGACAAAGAATTCATTACTGTCAGATGTGCGATACCCTCAACATCTATAAAATCTGATAAATAGACCACAATCATTGCTGAAAAATATCTGCGATAATAGCTATTTTATTAGTCGCGCGCTCTGTACCCACCATTTGCAGAGTCTGGAAGTCACGCAAAAAGGAATTCAGTTAATGTTGCCGGTTGAGATAGAGAGGGGTAACACCTAGACAGACATTTTTTCAGCACACTGGTAATCCTTCTGAAGACGATTATACGAAGAACGATGTATTCTATGTTAAACTTCGTTTTTGAATCTGTTTAACCATTTCTATCATATATGTAAAATTGATGGACGTCAACGTTGTCCTTTAATGCATCGGTCAAACATTTACTAATCCTAATGAAAATGTACCTATTTATAGAAGTATGGTTTATATATATATAAAGCTTTAAATAACACCAACAAAACTCTTTCATAATTATATTTACAAGACATCAAAGGTATATCTTAATCTCATGTGGCAAATCGTGATAGCGAGGACTTCATATGATTGAAATAATCGTTAGAAACTCATTCATATAAAAGCATCTCACCTCCACTAGGGAAGATGACATCTACCCTACATTAATTGGTGTGGTTAGTTGGAAAAGGTTATTATTGATAAGTGAGTGCAGTAAGGATAAAATATTTATAGTTTATAAGTATCCAAAGGTACTGATGGCTAATGAGTAGGAAAGAGAAAGGGTGGAGTTTGTCTGATCAACACATTTGGATACATAAATGTATTAGGAGAGTATATCTCTACGCTCCATCTGTCAAGGGATCTTTAACATGCACGCAAATGTGTACACTGGTGAATCTCTGTGTTTTTGTATCACCAGTACGTCTTTGAAACACTTCCCTTGTCAACCTTGACAGGTGAGAATGGAAGGAAAGGGATGAGCACGGGTCTACATAATAGGTTGCTCCGTTAGAAAGGCACTGGCTCGCTAAACAGGAGGTCTCGGATTCGCTTCCGGTGTTAGCCGAGAAGGTTCCGTGTTTTTTTTTCTGCTGTGGTTTTCCCATGTCAGTGTTGTTGGGGGTCTGGCAAGTGACAGCGTTAAGTCGTTCGGATGGGACGAAAAACCGAGGTACGCATAGGCGCGCTTGTAAAACAACCCTTAACAGTTTGAATTCAATTACTGAACATACAAAACTCCATCATAGCATCCTGTATAGAGGTATGCCTGTCTGCAGATGGGACGAAATACCGCGGCACATATAGGCGCGCTCGTAAAACAACCCTTGACAGTTTAAATTCAATTACTGAACATGCAAAACTCCATCATAGCACCCTGTATATAGGTATGCCTGTCTTCATTATCCCGGTAGGTGCTGAAAAGTAGGACGTTCATTCTACGTTATTTGATCACTAGAACAAATCAGAAGAATGCACTGTATTGTGGCATACATAAGCCGAGTTAAATTTCTATTTATTATACTTTACCATGAGCATGACGACACCAAAAAAAAGCCAGCAGGTTTGACGTGAAAGATGATATAGTGTTTTCTAAAATACGTTCCCCCGTGGATACCTTATTATACGCGCAAGATTATTTAAGTGTCAAGCATACAATATTAAGTTCGCCTAGTTGGTCACAATGTACTATGAATGATGCCTATACATTTCAAACTTATCGAATGACAACATTGGTGGTTAGACCCTTCACAAGATTCTATAGATAATAGTAATAACTCTGGGATCGGATGATAAATATATTGCGCAGAATATCCACAAGAAATTGATAATGTCTTATCTACTTGCTTCTGGAGCCACACAGCTTCTGGGGCCACAGTGGATCAGTGTATATGTTCCTGGCTAACTAAGCAGAAGGTTCCGGGTTCGAGCCTCGGGAAGGGGAGGGGGTTCTAGTGGTTTAAGGCGTACCCGTGAAATCACAAGGTCTGATATTGAGTCAAGTGGCTTGGTTTCGAGTAGAGTCGCCTGCCTCCTCCGGTTTCTTCCCACGGCTAAAGATCCCTACGCGCAATCGAATTATGGACATAAAGCTGAACCATGTGTTAGTCCCAAAACGACCTAGTTTGTGTCGCGTGAACGTTAAACACATTTCTCTCTCTTAATCCTCAGGATTTTCCAGCCAGACTGTCAGTGGTGTATGAGGGAGGCATTAGTAACATGAACTGATGTCCATCGGTGTACAGGTAAAAAAAAAAACCTTGACAAAGTTTAAATTTGGGATGAGGAAGTATACCATAGTAAACAAGCTATTTACTGATATCATATATTTAGAGATAAACATATCTATACGATAGCTATATAAACTATAAAAATATACCTGCACTATATCACTTATCAAATAAAATAAACTACATTTTATTTAAATCAAAAACTATGTATATAAAGTAATGGATGATGAGAGGGACAGAGAGTGAGAGACAGGTAGAGATGTGGGGTTTAACGTCTACTCGGCACAAACTATGTCATTTCGGGACTATTACACATGATTCAATTTTAGCAGTGGGAGGAAACCGGAGGAAACCCACGAGGTTGGACAGGCGACCCTACTCCTTGTCACGTACAACCGGGGAATCGAAACCACGCCAGTTGATTCAATGACAGACCTTATGATACAGCGCGCACGTGCCGTGCTAACCATTCGGCCATCCAACCCCCTGTTATGGATTCTTGAAGCCGTTTATTTATCGTGTGATGAACTAGAATATACATGAGATCACCGTCACACTCTATAGGCGTGAACTACACAAATTGAATATATTTCTTTTTACTTCAATTTGTGACACGCCCTATTTCACCTATATACGTAGTATGAAGGATAATTTACCTATGATTTGCATCTAAAGAATATGTAAAGTCATTCCACGTAATTGAATTAAACGTTAACATGAAAGGGGAAAGGCTCCATATATGAAGCATAAAAGGAGAAAGGAGCCTTTAGTTATGTGTGCTTTACGGTGCTATTTATTAATTATATTGTTATTTTAGCTATTATAATGGATGTCATTTTATTGGACTGATTTTATCCGGAAAGTCATTGCATCCTTACATTTTTTTGTGCTCAGTGTTGTTGTACAAGGGCATTAACTCCGCTATTAATCGTTGCATGACACTGAATAATCTTTCATAAATGTAACCATACCGTCACAGTACATTTTAATGAAATTAAAGAAATGTTAAAAAGCCTGTCTTCAAAATCGTACACATACTTCCAGTTACGGGGGCTGTAACTACATAACCATCTTGTCCGATAAGCCTTTTCCTTATGTGTAAGTGCCGTGGTTTCGATACCAAGCTTGTGCGTGACAATCAATAGGGTCGCCTGCCCAAACTTGTGGATTTTCTCCGGGTTTTCCGGTACCCCAACCAAGATAATAAAGACTCCTATCCACAAGCGAATTATCGAAATAAAATTGTACCATATTAGTGCCGAAATAGTTTGTTGTCGAGTGGACGTTAAACCTTATAACTCTCTCTTTGTCTCTTTTATTGGTAATCTTACCCTCCGAGTAAGCACATAATAAATTCTTGGTTTAGTCTACCTGTTATTTTTATGATTTTCCCGAGCAGTCCCACAATTCGTAGGGTGCACGTTAATAGTGAAGAAATAGTCCAAATAGATTTTATCTCAAAGCCCAATATTGCGTTGATTGGGAGTAATCGCTTGATTTGCCCTGGGCTTAAGTTTGATTTGGGTAACAAATAACAATGTCAACTTAATTAAGTTTGATATGATTTGTCAAGTTTACATTTGTTACTAATCGAAATAACTCACCAGATTAACCCAATGCAATAATTTGTATCTAAATCATACATAGAGGATTATCTGTATGAATGAATGGGGTTTAAATTCCTATGTACTTATCTGCTGCAACCCGGCCTACATTAAGGAATTGTATCGTGCAATGTGAACTGTGGTAAATTGGTACATAGGCTCTGGTAAGTTAGTGTAGTTTTGAAACCACATAATAAGGTAATTCAAATTTGTATTTTTACGAAAAAGTTCCACAAATATTCAGATAAATACACGGGACTAGGATAAATTTTGAATGTTTCTAAGAATCTTTCTATTCAGAATTAACTAATCTGATTTACTAAGATATATCTGGGACTCGCCCTTTATATCTGATTCTGACGTTGAGTTAAGAATATTTATCTATAAATAATTAAAATCAACATATAAACTATATATGTTTTAGATTTCATTAGTAAATGGGAGCTATATCGTTCGGCGATCGCAATACAACATTTGCTAAATATAGTCGTATATCTTTTGGATCACTGCCTTTTAGTACTCTGCATCAACCGGGTTAATGAAGAAATGCATACGCCATGGAGTTGTTTATCGGGAAATGTTGCCATTATAGCAATCTACTCTTAATTCGAATTCCAACTGTCAGTGGATCTTTAACATGCTACCCAATGAAATGAAATGGAGTTTAACGTCCTACTGTTCTGCTCCGAAATGTGCTAATGAAGACGGGCATACGCCATACAGTGTGCTATTAGAGATATTTTGACCGGACAGCGACACTACGGCCTACTCTTATATCGAATTCCAACTGTCAAGGGATCGGTTTTATGTGATCGGTTTTCATCCCATGCGAACGATTAGATACCTGTCCTTGTCAAGCCCTCCGGCAGGGGGAACCATGCCCGAAATTGGGGATGAACTTTCTCGGCTAATCCAGTTTGATATTGAATTTCAGAAGCTGAAACTAATTGGTTGCGTGTAATTACGGGAAAATGGCGATTTCTAAAATGTTATACCAAAGACTGACTGATAAAACAGTAAAATTACGCATTTCTTAATGCCACTAGTAGAGCCATCGCAGTCAACTTATATAAGTATTAAAATACAACAATATGACCCGAACTGACAAAACAAATGGGGAACGTGTTGAAAATATATTCTTTTCAACGTGGAGCAAATATCTCATCAATCACAGTAACACACTCCTAAAAATATGACTTACTTTATACAGTACACTTAATAGTGTAATACTACAATAAACTTTTAGAATTGAAGTTATTTTCAAAAACTTTAATTCAACAGGAAGAATAATCATGAGGCGAAAAAACATTAAAAACAACCAATCTCACACGAATAGTGACAAGAGGCAATTAAATGTTTCTAAGCATTACATTTTTGCAAATATTTGAGTTCTATTTGACATGAAGTATAGCTCGTGTTGCAATGATTGTATCATAAAAGTTTTCATAACACCATCAATGACGGAAAAACGGAACAAATGTCTTCAAAACATGTGAACATTTACATATACATATAATTGTATAAATCATTACTTACCTCGAACTTCGACTGATAAACAGCTCAAGATAACATATGCTAGAAAATATGTTAATTTCAACATATCTATATTATTTTCTCTCTGTATTACAAGTAAATAAATTCGTAATATTTCCTTTTAAATAAATCCAAGTTTCATAGCACGACACAGTCCAGTTGTCCCTTTAAATGACGGTAGATTTAAAATGTGACGAGCATTATACTCTAGCGATCGATATCTGATTAAAACTGTAGAGCTCCCGTGTCTTCTATTGTCAACTGTGAGACGCTGTTCGTTCTCTTAAAACATCATATATCTAGGTGTGCTGTGATGTGTGGCAGGAGTCCTATAGTAAGTAAGTTATTCGGTAGTGTTGGTATAAATTCGACAGGGTTGACAAACAGGTTAATGGTATGGTTATATCCTGGTTATTTCATTTTTTTAAAAATTTCTTCGTGCGAAAGTAGGGATATATTGATAGGCGTTTGCGCAAATAAAATGAATCACATTCTGGAGTTAAATTCCACGACGTTGAGTGAGAAACCATGAGCTGACTAAATAAACTATCTCAACAGGGGCATTTCATTTGCCGTTCCGAAATTAAATCCCCCCCCCACGCCCGCCCTCCCCGAAAGCTGTCAATTGCATCGTTCGACAAGGCAGATGACGAGTCAATATGGAATGAACTTATCGTACTTTTTTATACGCCCACATTTTCATGTGGACGTATATTGTCATCGCCCCTGTCCGTCCGTTCGTCCGTCCACAATTGTTTGTGAACACACTAGAGGTCATAATTGTTATCCGATTTCAACGAAACTTGAAATTTATCACCCTAAGATCTCGGTTCCTTTCGATATTGGCATGTATCGGACTGTAACCTCATGGATTATGGCCCTTGATTGTACGAAAAATCACGTTTTTACTTGTGAACACTGTAGAGGTCACAATTTTTATCCGATTTGGTTGAAACTTGAAATATATGTTTATAACCCACAGATCTCGTTTTCTTTCGATATTCGAGCATATCGGATAGTAACTTCCAGAATTATGGCCCCTGATTTTAAAAACCGTTTAAATATTTTAACATTCCACCATAATGAAGGTTGAATTCGGATTTCGGGAAAATCGAAATGAAACTGCCCAACAAAATGGCCACTCTTTGTACGCAAATTGTGTAAAACTATGCAATACGAAAGTTGTCGACCCTCTAGAGGTCACAATTTTTATCCAATTCTGATAAAACTTAAAACATATCTTTATATCCCAAAGATCTCAGTCCCTTTTGATATTTGCGCATTTCAGACCATAAATTTCTGGATTATTGCCCCTGATTTTAAAATTTCAGGTTTGATTCATAGCCTTATAATATTCTTTTTTGAACTGCGGACATTTTTAGATATATATATATATCATAATAAAAATAACATTATCGTCTATAACAAAATAGGGCTATGGGGTAAATTGAAAATTGAATTTTTACGTGTATTTAAATGTAATGGGCAAATCAAAAGGTAAAATTACCAGGACTGGACATATATTCCCAATTGTACCCGAGGAAGCTATACCTGAGCATTTAATTATTAGAGAAAAAACATTTTGTTGGGCAAAGCAATTTCTTCGGTTGATCATCAAATTTTGAGGGCACTATCTAAAAGATGAAAAAAAAAAAATTTGATGGATATATAAGGAAACACTTGAAAATCATTATATCTCGCAAAATGTAGTGCCCGAAATCCATTGTGTGGGATGGGGTGATGCAATTTGCAACCGGAGTTCAGAGTTTCAGAAAACCGCACAATTTTGATTTTGATACAGGATGTCTGGTGCTCAAACTCAAACTGTAAGTCCAGACTCTACTTGCCGTTCATTTTCGAGATACTACTACTTTTTTGTAGTAAAGTTAGGTAGGTTCATTTTTCGGCCCCATATTTTTGGGGCTTAAATGATACAGCCCCCTAATGGTTTTGATGCCTATTCATGTTTCAGTTTTAGTAAATCACAAACCGTGAATCATTTTAATAAATTCAGATTTTAAAATTGTAACTATCTTGCGTTTTTGCTATTATTGTGGGGTTTTTTCTTGTGTGTTTTGATAACCTCGTCCAATATGACATTAACAAAGACTCGAGAAAGAAATACACAGTCATTAAATATAGAGAAATCCACCCATTTCTTACACTGTGCACTGCAGTCGAACAATAGCTGAGTATAGCTTGCGGCTTGCATGGTTCAGTGACTAATATAAATTAATGGGGAAATGTATGGGCGAGACATATAAGCAGTTAATAAAACAGCGAGAACATTACAGGAGCTAACAGTCTTAGCCGTTGTTTTAAAGTGAATAACAATAATAAAGCTAGTATAAATATGACCATAACTTATTGACGTGCTCAATCAAGTCTTTTAACAGGTAGATGAAATAGGCCGATGACATATTTTAGTGAGGCGAAAGAGCAATGTATTCTGTGTACAAAGAAAACATCTTTTCTTATAATACATTACAAATTACCGGCAAAAAGCATCGCAATAAGACTAATTTCCTATTTTTTTTTTAAATCTTCGCACATATTTTATTGGCGATATCTTTCATAATTCATTTACCAACAAATCGAGACTGGAGCATTTTAAAATTTGCAAGAAAAAGAGGACGGTCTGTATAAATGTATTGAGAATAGTGAGAATAAGGGCTTTTTAAAATGGGTGTAAAAATGTTTCTTAAATAGTTCCAAAGAAAATCCCCAAAATATTGGGGCCATGCACAATATCGATAAACACGTTTCTTATTGTCCATTTCGACATGTCTGAATAATGTTCTAATGGACAATTCGAAGCAGTAGTGTAAAGTAAGCCTTAAAAGGTCTATCAATGTTAAAATTCAAAAGAGATGTAGAATTACACGTTTCTTGTAAAATGTGCACACATCCTGTATTGAAACATGTTTAAACAGTTAGATTACCCATAAAGAGCAGTCAAAGTACAACATACATCTACTTTAAACCTACATAGCTGTATCAATACAGATTACATGTAACAAAATACAGTTCTAACTTGTAAAACTACACTTTTATGGTTAATTTACCAATTATTTACAGTAACCCCATGTTACCGCACTAATACAGTAAATTTATAGTATAAAAACATGCAGTTGTATTTTTACAGCGTTATGTTAAAGGAATTACATATATTTCACTGTAATTTTACATTTATTTTTAACAGTGTATTTAACTATTTAAATGGAAACTTTAAAATACAATATGGTTAGCCATGTGTTTAAATGTGAAAACGCCAACGAGACTAAATAAGCTACCGTACTCATTGTCACGTTCCAGTGTGGGATCGAAACCACGCCACTATTTAGACCACTAGCCCCCCCCCCCCGGTATTAATAATGGTGAAAACTGTACTAATGTTGACAGATTAAATGGAGGTCGATCTGTTGACTATTCATTTCATCTTAGGCTTGAGATTTTGACGGAAAACAGTTTTAAATTGCAATATCCCTAATTCATACCGCCTCTTTAAAATGTATTTTTATTTCCTTATTCAAACGTATATCACATTTTAGAATCATTATATTAGGTTCTTTTCTTTTTTAATGTTTCTTAGTCGCGCGACAACAAAGCCACTGAGATTTTCGAACACAAAGGCCTTTTCAACATGAATCGCCAGTTATGTTATTATGAAAGGCTAGCGACAAGGAGGGTGTGTGTTTGCGGATAAAAATAAAGTTTTGAATTACGAAATAAATTTACAAGTTGACACAACTTTACCCGTAAACTCGTGGCAGTTTTAGGGTAGATATGTATAAAACGTTTCTATAAGAGCCATGCTTGCTACGTATGTTGCTACGTCGTGATATTGGTGCCTTGAAAATAATATCCTGTAATTTATTGCAATCCGAATTCATATAGACCGGAGGCTCAGCGCGGGGTTGGGGGGGGGGGTGTCCATCAAATGGGCACAAAACCAGACCCAACTTTTCTTGAGTAAAATTTTGCGTAGAATACGATGCCGAGTGGTAATCATTCCGCCGTTGGAGCGTTTTCGAGATATTCGGGGTCAAAGGTCAAATGAGTTCATTTGCACTGAAAGTGAATGCACAGTCATTCTTGTATTATGAAAAGAAGCTGAAAATGATCGAAAGTAATCACACGTTCAATAAAAATGTAAACTTGCTAAATTCACCTTTAGTCTTAGTGACCCTTGAGCTCAAAAGGTGAAATTTACCGTTTTTGCACTAGGAAGATTTAAAGCAATAAAATGTCAGCGTAAAATATAAAAACTAAAGCGAAACCTGTTCTAATTAATGATAGGAACATTTAAATTTTATCTTTAGGTGGTCTTAGCACCGAACTTTTACTTTGGAACGTCGAAAATGATCTTGCATAACAGAACCAAAACACTTTGAAACCTGTTTCAAAAATACGTAAAAACTGTCAAATAGAAATCCCTCCGATTTTTTTCCACAACGATTGTTATACATATTGATATTAGTTATCTGAAAAACAATTGAATAGTTTCAGTGTTGGACTCCAGCTTGCGGGCCGCGTGGATTTCCGAGAATCCCTGTCTAGGAAAACCGACGTTAATCTGTGACGGGAAAACACGTATTTGACGACGAGATTAAAAGTTTGCGAATTATTTATGATGGACGCAGATAAAACCGACGAATGCATTGTACATAGTAGTTCACAGGATATATATGTCGTATTGGTAAATGTTAGTAAATTGGTAAATTGGTAAATTGGTAAATTGGTAAATTTTGGCAGGCTTTGTGACGCGGCCTGCAGGCTGGTGTCCAGCCATGGAACTATTCAATTGTTTTTTTCAGACAACTAGTACCGGTATCATTATGTATAGCATTCATTGAAAAACTAATTCGGAGAGATTTTGATTTAACAGTTTTTACGTATTTTTTAAACAGGCTTCGAAGCGTTTTGGTTCTGTTATGCAAGATCATTTTCGACGTTCCAAAGTAAAAGTTTGGTGCTAAGACCACCTAAAGATAAATTTTAAATGTTCCTATTATTAATTAGAACAGGTTTCGCTTTAGTTTTTATATTTTACGCTGACATTTATTACTTTAAATCTTCCTAGTGCTAAAACGGAACATGTGACCTTTTGACCTCTGGGGTCACAAAGAACAAATGTGAATTTAGCAAGTTTACATTTTTATTGAAAGTATGATTACTTTCGATCGTTTTCAGCTTATTTTCATGATACAAGAATGACCGCGCATGAATTGTCAGTGCAAATGAACCCATTTGACCTTCGACGCCGAATATCTCGACAACGCCCCATCGGCGGACTGATTACCACTCGGCATCGTATTCTAGGCAAAATTTTACTCTAGAAAAGTTGGGTCTGGTTTTGTGCCCATTTGATGGACACCCTCCCGCGCTGAGCCTCCAGACTAATAGGGAATCATTTGACTGGTGCACTGGTTTCTCTATAGGTTTTATATATTGACGGTCCAGTAGCTTAATGCAAACATAATTGTAACACTAGACAGACATTTACAGACTAAGGTGTATGGTCAGCCTGTTTTATGGATGACACTATGTCGCTACAAATTAAATTAATGAAAGCTTGGAATGTACGGAATACATGTAGGCTATGTATTTTATTTACACATCTACAATAAGTTTTAGGTTTTTCGTATAAAAACAATTGTAATTTCTAAAGCACTATATATACAATGGAATTAACATTTCACTACACAATGTCAGTGCCACAATCAACACTTATCCTGTTCATTATCTTTACTGATTGCGATTACAACAAACACTCGTTAAGATGTTTTAAGCAAGGTCCAAAACCTTTTGGAATTGACGTATAGAATGTGAATATTTATAACATATCTTTACTTGTCGATCACGTTTTGCAATACTAGGTGCTGTTGACATATGAAAAACTCTTGTCGGCGATTAGTAGGGCCGGTCTTTTAGAGTAGTATGACTTTAAACGCTGATCTTGATGATTAGTATAGCTTTAATCGTTGATTTGAAGGAGAAATATAGCTTTAACCAGTCACAAAACACTAGAGGACAACACTGTACACGATGTCTTCATACACACAGTCAGATGAAGTCTAGATTGAAACATTAAACACTTCTTCGCCAAGAGTTCATCCTTACTAAATTTTCACATGAGGATACAGGCGATATTTCCTGATGATAAGTACTATTATTATCGAGATGTCTGGTATACGATGGTCTGGGTATGGTTATTTTAGTAGTTGAATCTATAGACGAATAGGTTGTAACAGCTTCTTCTATAATTTTATTTCGAGGACATTTTCTGTCAAAAACAAAAGAATAAAGAAAGTGAAAACTCGGGTCTATGAGAATTTATTTTAGAATAAAGACTAAACAACGGTTCCACGTTATGATATGGAAACGGTAATGAATTTATTGAGTATCCAAGGTATTTGCCCGTTTACTAGTCAGGATTCGAAAGTTTAACCCCATAAAAAGAAAACAAAAACTATGGGCGAACTATACTGACCAGGAACCAACCATGACGTCATCGCAGCCGTCTTGGAATTGTGAGTCCATGTTAACAATCGAGGCCAGTCAATTATCAGTGAACAAGCCTGTCAAGTTTCATGTTGATCGTACTTCAACTGGTAGAGCCTCAAGATCTTTCTCGAAAAAGCGTTGTACCCAATAACAAGAAGATGAATAGGGATACCCATAGAAGTCGTTTTGCGATGCAGGACAGGTTCCCGGTCATGAATTCAAGTAAATTACTTCGCTTTGTTTTTTTTTTAAATTTAGAGTGCAGTTGAAGAAAATGAAAAGTAATTGTTGCATGATCACCGATCGCAATTCAGCTATTTTATCACTTATTTATATTATATATAACCAGAGACGATTCAATACGCCCCTTGCCATGAATAATATATTTTTTTTAATTTGATAATTTGTTGACGAAACTTGCCCTGCAGGTGTATGTTGCAATTCAATACCCACCCAACATTTCACAATGCCGTTTTTCTTTCATTGAATTATACGGTTTGTGGTAATTTGTATTTTTTTTTTTTATTAGACATGTAAAATGACACCGAATAGCTTGATTTATGCGCTTGTGCACGGATGAAAGAACTGGGCGTTCATCAAATATATAGAAATAGACATCTTATTCATATCTTTCTATGATCTATGTAATTTATATAGTAGAGTGTATACTATTATAAAGGATTACAAACCTGATAAATATAAACAATAATACAGCGGTTAAACCCAACAATAGTACCCCCAAAACTCCACCAATAATAGCTGCAACTGAAATAAAACACGTATTGGTCTTTACAATAAAAGGTAGAAGCATAAATGTCTTCTGGCAGTTTACAATAGTTGATTGGTCTCACATTAAATTAAAAAATATGAAATTTGAAAAGAATTAAGCAGCATGACATCTGAAAAAATATTACAAAATATAAAATTTGAAAAAAAAAATATTTAAAAAAAAAGGTATCAAATTAATTGAAATAGTATTTAAAAATATGCAATTTTGAAAAATTAAAAAAAAAATATATGGAATATTACCACCTTTACCAAGTTACTACTACAATAAACTAGCTGTGTTTCCTGCTAAAATAATGTGCCATGTCTTACACCCAATACCTGCTCATTGTAAATGCTTAAGGGATTAACAGGGAACGCTTGGCGAGTCAACGCCTAATGCCCGTCCACACTATGAGTCAGCTTGCCATAACCTATTGCCCCCCTCCCCCTCCCTCCGTGGTGACGCCAGTGAGCATTTTCCTCGGAACCATTTGTCAGCGATATCTTCCTAGGTGGATCGGACGTAAATTCTTAGGGGCGTATTAGACGCTTCGTACACTGTCAAAGATCATATATAAATGACCAATTACCTGGTATGGCCGTGGACGACATATCATATGTTATGACTCCCGGCGGTTTATGAGATGGTGACATCTCCCCCTTATTAATCGTATTTGTTAAAATTGACGGATTATTTGGTTTAAAGAGAACTATATTACTTTTATTCTCAGGTTTTACAGGCGTGGGGGATCTGGGTACCGTTTTATTTATCACTTCATTTTGCGAAATAGCTGTATTTAGTTCTACTGCAGGTGTAGACGGGATCACAAGGCCCGAAGCAGTTGTTAATGACTTAGTTGTCGGCATTATAACTGTGGTTGGGAAGGTGTTCGACTTGGCTTTGGGTTCTTGATGTAATGTAGATGTTGGTCCTGGTGTTAATATTACGGTTGATGTTGTATCCGACATTGTTGATGATGTTGTCGAGATTCTAACTATGGATGGGTTGGTGCTCGACTGGGTTTTGGGTCCTTCATTTAATGTAGTTGCTGTTGTTGGTCCCTGTTTTAATGTTACGACTGATGTTGTATCCGGCATTGTTGTTGATGTTATTGGCATTATAACTGTGGACGAAACGGTGTTCCACTGGGGATTTTGTTCTTCATTTAATGTAGTATCCGGCATAGTTGTTGTTGTTGTCGGCTTTAGAGCTGTGGATGAAACGGTGCTCGACTGGGGCTTTGGTTCTTGATGTAATGTAGATGTTGTTCTTGGTCCCTGTTTTAATGTTACGGTTGATGTAATATACGGCATAGTTGTTGTTGTTAGAGCTGTGGATGAAACGGTGCTCGACTGGAGTTTTTGTTCTTCATTTAATGTAGTATTCGGCATAATTGGTGTTGTTGTCGGCTTTAGAACTGTGGATGAAACGGTACCCGACTGTACTGTAGATGTTGTTGTTGGTCCCTGTTTTAATGTTACAGCTGAGGTAATATCCGGCATAGTTGTTGGTGGTTCCGGATATCCATGTAAAATTATATGGGGAGTTGTCGTAGAAAGTGGATTGGTCTGGGAGGGTGTATTCGACACAATAAAGTTCGTATGTGTTGCTTTACTAATGGAATTTGGTTGGGTTTCTATTTGGACCATTGTTTGTTGTAATTGGGTGGTATCCGATCTTGGTTTAATACCTTGAGCAATTGATACTAGTGTTGTATTTTGTGAAGGTCCTGGCCGTGTTATCGTTGGTCTTTCACACTTGGTATCTAGGGTACTATTACCTAAAATCAAATTTTAGAGTATATACCAATATGCATTTACTACATTTAGTTTCAAACAAAAATAAATAAATATAATTGCATGTAAAAGTGAACGCGCAGTTAAAATGGACATCCATAACAAAACCTGCCGACTTCCAGGTATTAACACACAATTTCCATATCTATATATAGTACCTTAAAGATACATTATGGAAGATTAGATAAAGAGCTGACAGTTCGCACTACAAAAGTTAAATAGTAGATAATGTAACGGGAATATTCTGAAAAGTTCAGTCAAATTGGTTCACTCTAACCGAGAAAAACCCATTAAAAAAACAAACTTGTAGCCTCGATTGTCATTGTTGCCGTTGCGACGAAAATAAAAGAGGTCTCGGTTATTCATTTTTGTGTTTAATCATCAATGGCTGTTGAACGGTAGATCGGATTCAAATTTAATGAAAATCGGAAGCATCAGATGACATCGAGAGTTGATTATGGTCTTGTCATGTTAATAAATGTCTAATTAACATTCCAGGCCTAAGGAAAAAATGCAATAAGCAGATTTAGCTCTTGCACTATGTATGTTTAATATATATGTTGTTTTAATCTGAATAGATATACAACGGGTTTCAGAAACTGCGTTTAACAAGTCAAATAAATGAAGAGTTTGTCTATTGTCTACAAAGTTTTGTAAATTAATGAAATGGGGTGAAACGTCCTACTTTTCTGCACCAACCGAGCTAATAAATATAGACATACACCATGCAGTATACTACGATATAAATTTTGACTGGATTGTGGAGCTACGACCTACTTGTATTTCGAATTACATGTCCGAAAATTAGGAAAAAAAGGTTAATGGAAACTTCATTTTAAATACTATGATTTCTAACTATAAATATCTTTCTGATACTACTTCATACCCATTTTCTGATCAGTCAGCACATTTGATCATTTACAAAGATCTCATCTACAGGCGGAGCCACAGTGGCTAAGAGAGTAAGACCTTGGTTCGCTAACCTGGATCTCCGGCGTGATCCCCCCCCCCCTTACAAGTGGTACAGGACAAAAGGCCTGAAAGAGGACAACGTACAGTCGTTCTGATGGGGCGAAAAACATGTGTATGGCGTGCAGTAAAAAAAAACCCCTTGAAATAAAGAGTAGACCGTGCATATATAATAGATAATATATAACAGTTGTCGTTATAAATTCTACATACACATCCGTAACTACTATAACAAGACGAGTTTACTATGAAACAGGAATCGGCCAAGACGTCTTCGCATCCATCTTGGAATTGCGACGTCATATTAAAACTCTAGCATGTCAAGGTTCACGACGATCGTAGTTGAATTGAAGAACGTCTTCACCAGAAGAGTAAACAAGAAACAAGAAACAAGAGAACAAGATCAATAAGTCGTCAAGCGCGTCCAGTTACTGATCTAAAAGCGTGTGTATATCATGTCGTTTAAACAGTGGTAGCTAGGTTACCAAAAAAAACTTTTTACCTTCATTATTCGTCTGTTCACAATCACGCCCTGTGAATAAAAATAAAACGTGGGTTATAAATCATTCAAATCTGTGAAAAGGACTTAAAAAGGTATAAAGACAATGACATGCAAAAATGCTATGTCACTGCTATGTCATTATCATCAACATGTGCATGTAAACATTATCATCATGGCTATATTGACTTTATTCTCATCGAAATTTAACGCCCGTAAAGAAGCAACCCAAACATTTTAGTTTCGGAACGAATATCCCTTCATACATGAATGGCCGCTGACACATTATAATAGATATCACTCTTTTAAATAAGAAACATTTATTGAAATAGATTGGTATATTGTGATTTTAATTTAAGACAGTGTTGTTTGTACCCACAGTGTTTACGAATGAATAGTATGGTGTACCAACAGTGTTTATGAATACAGATTATGGGGCAATTACAGTGTTTACGAATACACATAGGCTATAGGATTACAATAACCCTACCATAACCACAAGCTAATCTTTATTACGATCAGTGACGGATCATGGGAGCGCCGGGCCGGGAGTCCTCAAACTAACATTCATTGAGACAGTAGGCATCCTGTATTTATAGAACTGTAAGCGCTAATGTTCGGAGTTTGTAAACTGTCACATTAAGAATGAAAATCTTCGTAAAAAATAGCGAATATTTGAATTTACAGGGCGCGGTTAAGTGGTCTCTCAAATTATTTACAGGACAAATTATTGAGATCAACCGGCCTCTGGCCGCCCGCCCATCGGGGAGTTGATAACAGAATTTGTTCTGCATATAGGATCTGTTGTTCCCCTACCTAACAATACCACGATTTGGGGGGGTAATGTGTGTTGATTATTATAACAATATATTTTTTTGTCATTTTCACCAAGACACTGGACACTTTCGGGGCCGGGCCTGGAGTATTTACTTCTATTGCTATCGCCATGATCTGTCACTGATTAGGATTATCCAAACCCTAACATACCGTGGTTATGAAAAATCCATTGCTTTATTTAATTAATTCAATTAAACCCATTTCCGACATGGAATGAGTGCAAGAAAACTTGAAGAGAATACTGTAACACATTTTAAACGAATGCGTAAACCATTTCTCCTTCCTTTCTAACATTTATGATTTGACCTGATTTTATTGGAGTAACCATTGACAAATATGTCCCGCTAATACTTGATTTTATGATTGACATAATACAGGTGATCAACAATGACAAAATATTTAGTTTACGCCTCTCTATATATCTTTATAGTACACTCTAAAACATTTAACTGTGACAGCAGAGGCAATCAGAAACACCAATCAGAAAAAAACGTGCTTCTGTATGACAGGTATGTACATATTTTAATTTTATTCCTCTACATGTATTTACATCCACTTTTGTTATTTCTCGTTTGCTTCTATTGCACTGATAAATTTGTATTTCAAATGAAGCTGTGTTCAATGGACCAATGTACATTTTAACAGTTTTTAAGTGAAAACTAAATAGATTTTTATTCTATCAAACTGTGCAACAGAACAGACATGCTTTTAGATTCAGATGGTAAACATAGCATAATTTTACTACTCCTCCATGCAAAATGAGCTTTTAGATATTCTACTGAACCCTTAGAGTTACCTTGAAATATATATCATGTCAACAGCACAACAGCAACAAACGAAGCATATATTTTAAATCAAAATATTGATGATAATGGGTAGAAAAATAAATTAGTGCCTAGCTGGTATACATTTATGCCAATCTATATTCCACATTATCTCTGCTGTCACAGTTGCAAGTAATAGGGTATGAGATTGTTTATGCTAGGGCCCGTCTTTTGTTATGTTTTCGTATTTGACATAAACTCTGGATTACTATTACGGTTGCTTCCATTAATCTCCATACTTGAATCGAAAAATTCGTAATTAAACATTGTCGCATATACTCGTTGATGACTCCCAGCGACCCAGTCTAATTAATATGAGATACTTATTTCGTTTAGTTTTTGTTTTCCGATTTTTTTTTATATTACTTTGCAATCTAGCCAATTTGCTTCCATCGCGATTTTATGTCAGTAAGAGTAACATTTATAACATATAATTCTATTTGAAATGTCTAAAATCACCTAAGCATTCAACTTTATTCCCATATCCTCATTTCCAAATACCATGCGCCCGGTATCATATGTCTGTCATTGAGTCAACTGGCGTGGTTTCGATTCCCCGGCTTTACGTTACAAGGAGTAGGGCCGCCTGTCCAACTACGTGGGTTTTCTCCGGGTCCCCCAGTCTCCCCCACTGTTAAAGACCCTTGCGCGCATATTTAATATAGTAAAACCGTGTTTTAACAGGCCGTCATATTGAACGCCGTGAGGGCAGTGGACACAAGGAGGTCATCGTTTCGGATTCCAGCATGAACCGAAAACAACTTCCGAGGTTTTTCAACCCTGTTACTTACATTACAGGGACCGCGCCTCCAGGACTACCAAGGGAAGTGTGCACAGTTGTTTGAAGGGACGTCCACCCCGGTGCAATGACGTGCACGTAAACGATAGTTGGAATTCGAAGTAAACTTGTTCCTAGTATTGTACACGTAAACATATGAAGGACATTTATTCAGATAGGCATATATCAGTCTGATGATGACTATGTGCTGACGAGACCCTTATCTTAATTTAAATCCTAATCCGTAACCTACAAAGATTTAGTCAGCAAAAATTACAACATGGATTCTAATATACTTTCTTTAAATTTGTAGCACTTTTGATCTTTTCTTAAATTTCGAAATTATTTGTATAGACGACGAGACTTATCGCTAATATTTTGGATCTAGAAATTGACACAAATGGGTCGCGACGTATATAATAATGTAATGTGAATGTATACAAACTGATTTACATTCAATCGTTTCTGTTTTTACTGCAATATCTTATCAGTTATGTTCGGCGAAATACGCCAGAAGTCTCAATCCAATGGCAATCTCTAGCGTCTGGTTATTTCACTCTATACCGATAGTATTTATTGCGCATGCTCTCCAGATA